GGCCCTATGTACATTTACATTGTACGTTAGAGTCTAGTACTACAGGTACATGTGTACAGTGTACAATGTACATGTACGTTCTGAAGTGACACCAGACCCAAGGCTTGAGTTAAAGTCTAGACTTTGTCGAAGTCAGAATTGAAGTGGTGAGTATAAGCATAAAATACTTTTCCTGTCCTGAAGTAGTCTTTGCTTTGAAAAGACGTACGTCCCACTTTTTCAGTGTTTGGTTTCACTGAAATTTCCGGAACTAAGCATGCTAAGTCGAAGTCCGTGCTAAGTCTTTGGCATGTTTGGCCTACAGTCAGTTCAACCTACATCATAGGTTCACTACCGCGTACCGTGACTACAGTGCAGTACAGGCCCAGCCTGTTGTGTGCAATAACAAAACAAAGTGAAGTCATGTCTTGCTCAGTTTGATTTGTAAGTGCAAGGCCATGGAGGAGGTAGAAAGGTTTACGTTGAAATGAGTATGACATGTATGATGTGTGACATCATGCTCAGTAACTGTAAGGTTAAGGTTAATGTTGTGAAAAGAGGGCAGGGTTTTGAGTTTTGGGAGTAATTGCAGAATACCCGGTCCCCCGCCACTCTAAAATTACACGAATGACCCCCTTGAAATTGTTGGCTACGTTCACATCACATGTCATGCCACCATTGTTGTTGTTCAGCTGGCTGCAACTTTGTAACCTACCCATGATCTACTGTGTGACTTCGACATCAACATTAAGCAGTCGTAACGGATCTATCACCAGGTACGAGCTACCCACAAATTAGTCTGGTTCCTTGAACAAATTGCCCTTCTGTCTTGTGAACTTGTGGTCAGGAATCAGTCTATTTGTGAACATTCAGGTGGTTTGAAAATAGAGGTTGCTGTTTTGAAAATTTTTAGAAAAAAATGTACAAAAAAAAGTTGATGCGCACGTTCAAAATCGATACTCGACCAGAGACCGACTATTTTTTTGGCCTAAGAAAGCCACATTTTCTCACAATTATGACAATCAGTAGTATGCGCATGATAAGCGAAGGCTACCCCCAGAACTGTGGGGTCTGACATCTGCCCTGCTCTCACAGCTCTGGGGGTAAAGCCTAGGCCTATGGAGAAAACAGGAGCCACTGGCTCCTAGAAGAAAAAAAAGGAGCCAGGTGGGTGACTAACATGGGCATAATCATGATTACCATTGCCATTTAGAATTAAATTAATATTAAATTTGGTCTGTTTTTGTCGCAATGTACAGCATGGCTCACAATTTACAATTCGAAATTTCTAAAGAATAGGATCAGTGCAATAAAGAAAACATTGCCTTTTGCTTTTTTAGGGACTGGCCAGTTTTAAAAGATGAAAATGACAGAAAACATTGGGGGTCCCCAAATATACATCTCTGATTCCATAATGGGTGTATATATCTACTTCACCATGTTACACACACAGCGTTTCACATCTGGGGGTAACGCACTCTGCTCATCAGCATATATGCATACAAAGACCTTCATCAATACCTCCGAAACAAAATTATATGAAAAAAAAAAAAAGAGAGCAAAAAGAGTAGGTCCTACTAAGTTAAATAAGTTAAAAGAGAACTAGTGTGACCTGCTGACCAGTTTTTGACATGCTTGAAATGGGTGTTACTCTATAAATGTAGGCCTTTCGAAAAACAGGAAAATACAGCAGAACACCAGAAAACACCTGAAAACTGGGGTTGATTTTAGTCAGTGCATAATAAATGAATAAAGTCAACAAAATGTCCAAAATGGGAACTAATTTTATTTTCAAATTTAAAACAATATTTAAATTTCTTTTGTAAAATACTCTTTTTTATAAAGTTGGAGAAAATAGTGTAATATTTTCAAAGCTTAGGTCAGACCATTGATCTAAAGAAAACTGTCAGTAACTGGCAGATTTTCTTTTGGGTATGCTCATTAGCATAAAAAAGTGCCCCAGTTTTGAAAAAGGAAGATTGTTCGGCTGAAAATTGGAAAGATTGTGGAAATATGAGCCAGGATCAACTCCCTTGGTTTAGGGACATCCATCCAAAGGTAGCATTGATACAATTATGGAAAAAAATGGTCCTCAGTGTCCAAGAAAGTAGAGGGAACCTGTTTAAAAAATGGTTGTGAACAGACTTGGGAACTATCACTTTCACCAAAAGTTGAAAAGAAATGGAAAGAGTAAGGTCGAGACAATTTCAATTTGGTTTGAGAAACTCCAGGAATGTTAACTTGCATTTAATTGAGCCCCGAACTTTGTTGATAGTGCATTGTTTTCAGTGGGGATTGAATTTGTTCACTACACCCTTCAACCGCATTGCACCATGTATGGTTGACTGATGGCTAGTTACATGTACATGTATGCTGGCGCCCTCTGCTGGCTGACCGGCCTTTCCCAACTATGGCCCAGTTTTAATTTGGCCTGAATGCTGTAGTTGGGGGTTGTATATTTTGGGACCCCCTTTTTGTCATTTTAATCTTGTAAAACTGGTCAGTTCCCCCCCCCCCCACGAAAACCAAAGGCAATGCTCTATTGCGCAGACCCTACTCTTGGAATTTCTGAATTATTATAAATTGTGAGAATACATGTACAAACATGTATATGACTTTCCCACTGATAAAGCAGCCATGCAAATTGGAATCCACCATGTGTCATGTGCTTAAATGAAGTTTCCCCTCATGATTGCCCTCGACCTCACAACATCGACTCTACAGATATTGAGTATGATGTCATAGTCATCTACCAAAATGATTCCAAAAGTCAGGAGACAGTCAGGAGACAGTAATGGAAGGAATAGCCGGGTGGGACTAATGAAATGAACTGTATTAGGAGTGGCAAGCAAAATGTTCAGTTGTGATCAAATTACTGTCAGCTGTCAGCTGCTGTATATTGAAATTTCCTAAACTATTTTTAGCTATTGAAACTGCATATAATGTCCAATGGCATAAATGGGCAAAGAAATTACACAATAAAAGACTTACATTAATTTCATGCAATGCTCAAAGAGTATTGAAATATTGAAATATATAAAAGAAAAATCAAACTGTCAACATACATGTACCTGTAGATTGACAGAGATTTTAGAGCAACTATTGCGATGAAATATAACCATGGATAAGTTTTGCCTCACTTTGTTTCATTAATGCCTAAACACTACATGTAGGTTACATATGAATGCCTGAGCTCTGTCATGACGGTTTGTACACTTTATTTTTCTTGGTATGTTTTTGCCATTCATGATGTTTTGTTTGTGCGCCCTTTTCTTGGAATATTTTACCCATGATCTGTGACCCTAGTACTAGTAGAAACCATCAAGGATGAGTTAAATGCATTTTTACATGTTATGATGTACTATATGTATGTAGCTATTACACTGCTTGGCCATTAGCAGAGCGTTCCCTTATACATTCATGGATTCAGATGCCTTCACATTTCCTTTGGAATCACAGGGGGATAGATAGGTCCGGTAATTGGTTGCAAGGGAAAAATGCTGACTTTCAATAGTATAAAGGATGGTAGTACCGGGGGTACATACGCATAGTTGGTTTAAGTTAATGTATAGCCCATGTTGTCCAGTTGAAGCCAACCATGGTAAGAACTAGCCAACCATGGTAAGTACTAAATAATTTATGGAACAATATACATGTACACTCTAAGTATCCATTGAATGCTGTCTAGGGGGACTGCTGACTGTTGTTATGGTAACCCTTCCAGGTGTTTTAATATGAGAGAGACGGTGTTTATCCATGCTTTTGTTGTCATGCGGGCGATCTCTTCCACAGATCACTTGATGTTTCAGGAGGACAGGAAAATTGAGCCTGTGTATCTAATTAATTCTTATTGTTAATGTTGTACGTGCCTCTTGTGAATTTGCTACATACAGCATGTACATTTAAATGTGTAGAATCATCAAGAGCTATTGATTGACAGCAATTTAAAAGCCAAATTCTGTAGAAAAGTTAACTACGATTCAAGACCACCCATGGTAGGTTTTTCATGTGTTTAATTCTTGGCAATAGGTCAGTGTGAAATTTGTGGAATTTGTGTTGCACATGTACATGTACATTTGTATGTAGATGAGCTGCCTTGAGGCATCCTTTCCTTCTTGTTTTGGAGTGGATAGGATTTATTTGATTTTGTTGTTTTGGGATTTTTATGGTTTAAAAGAAAGGACTCTTCTCTTTTTTTAGGGGGTGTTCAGTAGGAGATAAGCCCCATTCATGTAAACTTTCCCTACCTTTGTAGGTCATTTATCAGAACTTTACATTTTTGTGAATACATGTACCTACATGTACATTTCCACAGATAGAGTAGGTATGACTTATATGTTGAAGCTTGTGAGAAGTCAACTTATAAGATTTTTAATACAGAAATGTGGAATGTTCCAGTTGGCCTAAAAATTAAGGATTTTGTGATTGCCCATCTGTTGGTGCGTGTAACATACATGTACTGGTAGATCCAATATGTTTTTGAAGCATTTGTTTTGATATATCTCTTTGGCGCAGGCAGGAGGAGTGCCACTTCTTTGAAATTGTATGAGGTGCCTGTAACTTATTCAGAGTAAAAAAAAAAATTGGTTAGATTTGAAGGCAGTCCAATGTATGTGCGGAATGCTGGAGCACTAGAGGTCATGACACTGTGGGTGTATTGATCTTTGCTTGGAACAGTGAGGTCCAGTGGGAAGTATTTACAATCTATCATGTTAGTCTTTGACCTGGTTGGTAGTGTTTGAGAGATCAGGGAACTCATAAGTCAAAGGACAGTGATAAAATGTTCAGTTAGTGATAGTTTATGCTTTCTGAGTGCTGTTTTCTCTGAGAGATATCTATCTTGAGTGGTTTGATGAGGAACACTGTGGTGTTTAGGGCAATTGTGTTGTGGATTTATTTCAAATAGAGGAAACTACTGCACAAAATTGGGTTGGAACCAACTTGGGTTCCTTTGATGACTACTTGTAGTCATACTTTTACTTGTAGACCTGTATATTTTGGGGTGTTTACATACCTGGTACATGTATGTAACATCAAGTTTTGGCACATGTACATGTATCGGTAACTCTGCTTTCACAGCATGTCATATGGTGAAGGTTTATGTTTTTCCTCCTCCAAAATTGATGACACTACTGCAATGAGTTCAGAAGCTTTGAAGATCTGCTTGAAGTGAAAAAAACTCTTTAACTATGGTAACCTGCAGCCATCAGTCTTCCATGCCATACAAAAGGCCTAGGAGCTGTCTTTGAGCCTCAGTTTGGAAAACATTGTACATGTACATACCGGTAATGTCCATAGTCTGCCTTGGGCAGCAGCACTCTCCCATTCATGTTCATGTGTCATTGGTTAAAAAGAGTCATGTTGGTTGGAAGTATTCATTTTGTTGGTAGCGGTGTGACCGTAAAGCGTGCATTTCCTAGTCGTTTGTGAACCAGTTAAGTTCAGTTCCGACGAAAGGAGCCTCCCTTGCCAAGAAAATAGTGCCCTCTCTTGGTCCAGATTGATGATTCTAGGAATGTGATGAGCGTCAACTACATACATGTACATGTACACAACACAATGATTATGATACTTTCATTCATTGGTGAATAAAAAGGCACATTGAAATGATGAGAATTATTAGTAGCTGGCTTGGAACAGATTCTTTTGATTCCCACATGATATATACAGGACTATTACTTATTTAATGTGCAGGGATTAAATCCAAGACATAGAACCCATGCGCTACCTTGAAGAGACAGGTGATTGAGGCATATTGAACTTACCAATGCCCTGAAGCCCTCAGCAATAAAAATCATTTCTACATGTTTAAAAGATTCCAGTGGTACGTACGTGTACATGTAGTGAAATACATGTGTGTTATAATGCATGCATGCTCTGTCTGTAATTCTACATGTACATACGTGTACATGTACCAGTACATGTACTGTACCGTTTAAACTGAGTTACTATCAGTTATCTTGTTGCAGGGGAAGGGAACAGAAGAAGGACTCTTATCTCAGTTAATGATTAAACTGAATCAGCCATTGCTTTGCCTAGGTAGCAGCATTGTAAGTGGCATGTAGAGTGGACTGTAGCAGTGTACATGCATGTAAACCACCAATGATGTCCCTTTTGATCATTCCCAGTTGATGGTTTTGCATTAATGAGTAGATGGTTTTGAGTTACATGTATGTCCAAGTGGTGCTCTCTTAAAGTGATGAATGCAGTTTACCAGGGCAGCTGTCCATATCTGCGTCATATTGTGTGTATTGTGAACATACATGTCCATGTAGATTGGCAGTGACACTACATGATTTATCCCTTGACTATTTGATTGCTTGGTTGACAACTCATGGCAATGTCAAAGTAACAGATCAGTTACAGGTAGACTTCCTTGCCACTTGTTGATATTTTGCATGGATGTACCTGTACTTCTGTTTCCCTTTAAGCAGGAATGAATCAAACTACCGGTACATGTATCATCGCCCACCTGGAACTACATGTACTTGTACCATGCTAGTACATGTGCATGGAATTATGTACATGTAGTGATCCACTCAGGATGGAATGTTTACATTTGGCCTTAAACGTGACTTCTGGACTACAGTTCAAGTGTTTCACCAACAGAGGTTTTTGGCCCTCTCCAGAGGAATACATGTACGTGTAGTTGACCGATATGACACCTGATGAGCTGCCGTAGTAAAAGAAATCAGAGAAAGGAATGATGTTAATAGAAAGGAGATGCATGGAGGTGTACAACGTACATGTACCTGTCAATCTGCAAACATTTCTGAGCACACTCANGTCTTCCAAGTGAAGGTTGTTTACTAAATGGAACTTTTGAAGTTATTCCTGGAGTATTGGGTTCACAAGGGAATTATTTGGAGATTATTTGAGAAGTCATAATTTTATGCTATGCATGACCTGAAGCTGTAAGATGGCTTTTTACCAGGTAGAGTATTAACCTTACTCTAACAAGTGCAAATGTAAAAATCTGGCTTTACAGCATTTTTAGGGATTATTGAACAGTCCAGCCACTACTGCTTGACTGATGTCTCTGGCTTGTCAAAATATGTACAGTTTACATGTACATGTCTACCCTGTATACTGTACTTAAGACTTGAAGGTTTTCATGGTGAAAGAACTATGTGAGTAAAACGATTGCGGTTACACCATGGATCAATCTCTTTCTTGAGTATGTGTGGTTCTGAGAAGAACCGGACAGAGTACACTATTCGAAACGTCGAGTTATTCCCCAATTCTTCTCAGAACCACACATACTTAAGAAGAGACTGATCCACGGTGTAACCGCAATCGTTTTACTCATATACTGTACTTGTATGTGGGTAATTCCAGAAATTAGGGGTCCATTTTCTTTCGTGTCCTTGTCACTTCTGACATATGATTTTGTAAGTTTAGAACACATTTTCTAATATTCCAGAGTGATGAATTAAAGCAAATTACTCGCCAAACAAATAGTAACAGGGGGTAGTTTGAAATCAAGAACAAAGGTCAGATGTACCAGGGACACAAAAATGTCACACTTTTGGACCCTTAATTTCTGGAATTACCCGTATATGTACCAATAAGATGTCTTTAATGTACCGTACATTGTGGAGAACTAGTTATGAAGCTCTCTTCCTGCAGGTGTTCCAGGGTTTTGCAGAGAATAATTTTTCTCACAGATCCATGACATTTTCACACCAGACAAATCTCAGTCTTGCACGCATTCGGCGTGCATGCGAAGACCATCCTAGATTGTTACCTATGCGGTGAATGCGTACCAAAGGACTGTCAATTTCATTTCAAAACATGCCCTCATTTGTTCCTGCTCAGAGCTTGCAAGAAATGCCAGAATAAAACCTCATGTAATATGACGAGAAAGGCATATAATGCAAAATTGGAAAAAGGCAGTAAAACCACATTTTGTTGTGTGTGAATAGCTAACTCACAGTACACTGTCCTGTGTCTCAGTGGTGTTGGCTCCAGTGTTACTCATTTGGTGGCAAACGTTCGGTTTTATGATGGAAGAAACATTTTTAACTACATGTACAGTACTTGAATCAGGAATTAAGAAGACTTTTTTCATCAATAAAGTGAAAGAGTACCTACATGTACATGTACGTGTATTACATCTCATGAATTTATTGTGTTAGTCTGTATTTTTTCTCACTTTACGTTGTGAAGAATAAAAAACTGTCAATCAAATTAGAAATGTTTTTATTTTTAGTTCTTCAAAGTTTTTAAAATTTGCCATTTCAGTTTGAGTTATTAACTTCTTTTCACAACTATTCTTTCCCAGCCCCGTCTAACTGCTGCAAGACAAAATCCTTACAGCAGGAAAATACTTCACAGTAGGAGATCTGGGTTAGACCATGAGTCGCTCAGCTGCTGCAGGTGTTGCCTCATGTTTCCTTACAAGGTAGCTGGAGTTCTCATCAGACAAATGAGAAGGATGAGACGTAAGTCACAGGGGTATATACTGGAAGGATTCTCTGGATCATTTATGTTGCTGGGTGAAAGAAAGTAGCCGGGGTTACTATGAACTCTTCTGAGTTAAATGGTCTGAAACTCAAACATTTCACGTGTGTAAGGGGTTTAGAGTAAGTCAAGCTCTTTCCTTCAACATATATTCTGTCAAACTACTGACACAGTCTTGAAAAACTGAAGAAAGTGAGTTAAGGATGTTGAAAGGGTTATTGTTTCATTACATCAGAATAACAGCAACAGCACTTTAATGCTACAGATAAAATATGATATCTTGCATAAGAAAGCAGTGTATTACCTCAGCAAAATGAAGCTTTGCCACTCATCAGTTTATCTAGTTTGTTACATAATTCTTTTCCTGTTTAGGTCAGTATCAAGTGCTCATTCTGCTTGCTATTGGTGTAGTGTTTCTCTGCCTATCACGAGTCTTGACAGGCTCTTCCACTGATGAGTTTCAACAGTTAGAAGTGCCAAGACATGCCCAGTCTCAATCCCATGATAAAACAGTGGGTGAGTATCGAGGTGTTTCAGGATGTGTAGGTTATTGATCACGTGATCTGCTTGTAAAATGGATCCTGAAAGGAATTGGATCGTTACTTACCACAGGATTAATGTATCTTTTAATCTGAAAAGTTAGTCGTGTGAAGTGTGAAATTTTGAGCTTGGTTGTTTTGCATACTCGTCAGGTGAGAAAGTCCTCTATGAGAAATCTACAGTGTGCAACAACCGACGGATATGTCGCCTTGGTCAAGTGGGCTTCCATTTAATGACAGGGTTTGAAAATTCACAGAAACCCTACATTTGCCTCAACAATCAAATGTAAGTAATATTACGTAATCAAGTTACTTTTTTTTTTAGAAAACAATCACATAGGTTTTCATCATGAAAACAAAACAGCCCTCTTTCGCTTCAAGATATCTTTACAACTAAATATGTTTAGTTTGTTGAAAAGGAATTGTTGAAAAATTGCATGTTTCAGATCAGAGGAAGGCTGTTAATTGACTTCTCAAAAAAGGAATATGCATGTATGAAGAAAATCAAACATTCAGTCTTAAAATTTATCGCCACTTCAGAGGCTTAAATATGGACATACTTCAAGCAAGCCTCGACATGTACATGTACATACATGTAGGAAGCACAAGTATTATTTTGTTTGGCCTTATCTGACGATGAACAAATTGGCAAGTTATTCTAAGGAATAGGTAAGTAGATAGTCAGAGATGGGTGAGTGGTGGGTAAGTGAAAAAAGTGAATTCGAGGCTTGACTCCAAGAAGCTTTTTAGTGTTTTTTGACAAAAAATCATTTACCTCCCTACAGAGTTTTGAAGGATGAAGATTCAGGCAGAGGACTTAATATGGTCGTCATGGATGGTGAGATATATGGTCCAAATTTATCCCAAAATTTTGAACACAAGGAAGAAAATACATGGACATTTCCTCCTAACAGATTTCTACAGGTTTGAACAAGCTTTTGAATTTTGTGTTATTTTCATGCAGGTAATATTAAAGAGGTGGTTGTTAGCTGGCATGCTGACACATATTCTGAATGTGAGTAATTATTTGATTTGTGTGTTGCTTTCTTGTTAACTTCACCCCTCCCACATTCACTATTATTTCACACCTATATTGGCATGATGTCAATGGACAAAGGACTACTCGTACAAAACCCAACCATTATCACAGATTTTAAGTCCTGAGAATTATTAAAATGGGTATGCCTATCCTCTTGAGATGTGACTCCCTGAATGTAATTATTGTTTGTAGGGATGAGGCCTGCAGTGAAAAATTGTATAAAAACAAGTAACTTGTGACAAGTAACAGATTTCACAAATTTCAAAATAAGAACATTTCTAATCCAAGGAGAGTGTTTAGGGGATCTGATGGAGTGCAAACTGTGTTAAGAGCTTTAATATTAAAAAAAAATTCTTTTGCAATTGTTCATGGGAAGAATAACATATGTCATCAGCAGGGAGCAGATTTAAAGGTGATAAGCATGATTATAAAATTTAGATCTCTGCCATTCAAATGTAACCACAGGTTTGCCAGTTGTGGATGATTATAAAATCAAGTTTTTTTTGTGAATGATTATAAAATCAAGGTGTTTTTGTGGATGATTATAAAATCAAGGTTTTTTTTGTGGATGATTATAAAATCAAGGTGTTTTGACTCTGTTGCAGTGTTGCATTCAAGTCTGTCACAAGTCCAATTACAAGTCCCTTCAAAAGGCCAGTTGTAAGTAACAGGGTGCACAGTGACAAAAGAATGCTTTTGTCAAAGCTTATTTGAATATCTTATGCATTGGCTTAAGACTGAATGACTTATGATTGACGTATGATGGACTTGTGATGGACTTGCTGGGACTTGTGATGGACTCCAATATTGCACAGCTCTGTTGGGAAAGCATTTTATGAATACCAGCATGATGTAATTTTTTTGATCCATCAGCTCCACCTTCTCTGATCAACTTCTTGAAAAAAATTGCTGCCAAAGATGTGCTCATCATTGTTACTGCTGATGATGCATTCCGTATGTTGTCCAAAGAAGTCAAAGACATTTTATCCAAGGACTTCAACAGTCAATATATAAACCAACTGGCTTACAGGTCATCCTGGGTGTTTGTTGGACAGAAGGGGATTAGAACATCAGCTGGAATTGAAAAGGTGAGATGATGGCCTCTTGGATTGAATTTAAAGACAAAATCACATTGAAGATGACTTGTGAAACCAAGAATATTACGGTAGTTTGCAATAGTGAAATATAACAGAAATGGCCTGCTCATGGCAGATATGATATGGAAGGACACACGACAAGCTGGCTCTCACAAGTGGTAAAGTTTATGGCATGCAACCCATTTAGCTTTAGGCACATATTTGCTTACCCAAGTTTTGACCATGTTAATTTTTACCATTGTAGATGTAATTGCATATACCGTACATGTAGATTTGCACTTGTATTGTTGCATGTGGTCGTATGTGCCACTGATTTTATTGTAAGTATGCAGTTCGACATTAACTGTGTGATTTCATGTACTTCATATTTGGATGTTTCTTTTAGTTGAACTTGATACACGGGCAGTGGGCTGAACGAATTGAACTCCGTGGATGCTTGGCATTACCCAGTAAGCTTGGAAATGCAATTTAAATACAGTTGTGTTAAACTCTAAATTTATGACTAATACCTTTATTCCTTCTCCATATAAATGCTTATCACATAAAGAAAATGACAGTGAAGATATTCATACATGTTCTCATTAAAGGTTTTGTTCAATCATTGATTTCTTCTGCGTTTGTTGTAATTCAAACTGAACACAACCCTGAACCACATGAAGGGTTATTAAAGAAAAGATGGTGGAACTTTACAAGGAGCACTTCAGATGGTCTGGCTCTTCATGGTTTTATCCTGAAGATTAGAAACAATTAGAAAACTTTCTTTTCCTATCCAAAATTTACATGCTGATATCCCATTTTCATCCTTTTCAGTGAACACCAATGGCAGTGAGATAGAGTCACGACGTGACCTTTCCAGTAACTGTAATATACCAGATTGTGGGAATGATAAAGTTTCACTACATGTTGTAGCTGGTGATGCTCATGGTGCTGTGCTACAAACACCAAGTGTCTGTGTTGATGGTAAAAAGTAAGGTTGACCTTTGACATAATCTAGGCTTAACCCTAACCTTGCTAGATCCTTAAAACTTCATATGAAGATTTGGAAACATTCTCCTGGCTTGGTGATGTTATCATGGTTGAGGGAGGTACATGTGCATGATGCCCATCAGAGGTATGGAATACTTAGCTTTTTAGATAGCTTGTATATGCATGACTGTTAAAGCAGATGATGTGGGTCAGTGAGGAATTATTGATTTCCTCTTTCCTCCTTACATATAATAGCCATCATGTTTAAGTGTTCAGGTGAGGAAGGGATATTATGTGTTCTGTTTTTCCTTTTCCCTTTATTGATAGGGTGATGGGCCCAGAGAAGACAAAAAATTATAAACCAGGCTCCCGAGGGTTAAACTGCATCATCTTTGACACTGTGCAGATGAAAGTTGTAAAAATTGGACGTTTTGACACTTACGAATCAGGTAGAGTAGGAACAGAACAGTTTGATTTTAGCCAGTTCTTCCTAGAAAATCTCTTTGATTTACAAATCAGAGAGCTTTGCATGTTGGTGTGCTTACTGCTCAAGTTATGTAAATGTGCTACGAGTGGACATATTAAAAATACCCAGATTTGCTCGACTTGTGTTCAGCAGGTACCAGGCAAACGGTACCAAGGAGCTTTAAAAATGAGGATTACTTCACTGTTTTAACATTTGAGGGTGTGCAGGACATATTGCCTGTGTGTTTCAAATTTTTTGCATTATTTAGTATGAACACTGCGTAAAGATTCTAATGTACTTTCAAAATTGATGACAATTGGGTCTTGGTTTGTCTTCAGTTGTTGATGAGGGCCTCTTTCAGAAATTCTTAGAGGGAGTGGAGGTGGGGCAAATCGTCATAATAGCAACGCATGATGAGGCATCCAGAAAGTGAGTAACATTCATTTCATCTCTGAAATAGCTCAGATTGTTTGCCTATTCTGGTCGCAATATTCAACTACAAATGTAGTTCAATGAAGATAAATTCAACTTAAAAGTTAAATGAATGGACTGTAATGCTGGCAGTGGGATAACACGGCTGAAGCATGCTGCAGTTTGGGTTGTCATTAATTAGGTATTGTAAATATTGTGGTTTTTGGAAGGCTCTAATTTGTTAATGTAATTATATCCAGAGGTTCATAGATATACTTTATTTTTGAAATAATTCTAGTAATGAAATCCACCTGAAATAAGCCTAATACATAGATATATTCTGGTCCTCATCCAGGATTTCGTTCAAAACCAAGGCTCTGATGAAAGCTTTTGGGAGTAGCAGGATTGAGGATCTGAATTTCCGGGACACCTGGGTGTTTGTCGGTCAGAGAGGAATCCAAGGTTATACTCCCTATGAGAAACTGGGCTTCAGGCAAGGATCAAAATGGGGGTCGAAGATGGAAATCAAGGAATGTATTCCCACCAAAAGTAAGATTCTCAGGAATAGCTGCAATTTCTTGTCTTTCAGTGAAAATATTTAAATGTTAAGCTTTGCCTTTCCTGGTAACAGCATCTCTTTATATTTGACAGCTCCAACAAACAGAATTCTGTTGAAATAACATGAGAACTAAGTGACAGAAACAAACTCATTCACGTTGTTTTGCAGAGAGGGAGAAAGATGTGGGATTCAGAAATCTTAAGTTCTGAGAAAAGGGGCTGTTTCAAGATAAAGGCACTGAAAGTTCCAGCAGAAATGCTTTGTCAGTTTAATGTTTGATCGTATAGTTTGAAATGATGCATTGTAAACTGAGATAGGTTTACTATTAATACAGTACCTGGCCTCCTCTACCTAACCTAACCCTATCACGTTTTGTCTAAACTTTCTGCTGAACCTGACAGAATCCAACTGCAGAAAAGTGTAAAGCCTTCTGAACCTTACAAAATTCCATAGCTGGAACAAAAGGCCCCCTTTTCACTGCTCATATTAAGAAAATCCCACAGAAAGTTAGAGTTAAGCCCCTACCCAGCAAGAGTCACACGATCTTCTGAGGATGAATTGAGCACACCATTTGGAGAACTAAATGAAAATCTGTCCTTTCAAAACCACGCAACTTTCAAAAGAGATGAGCTTCCATGGTTGTACTGCAAACCCTCCAGATGTTGTTCATGTTCATCATTCAAACCCACAAGTCTCATCTGCTGTTTGTTTACTTAGAAGCTAAAGAATGACCATAGTTTTAAGTCTTGTGACTTGTACATGTATTTATTGGGATAAACTGACAAACTTTTCATGTTCGAATGAGTAAAGCATTAGATTCGTTAGTTTTTTGTATCTCAGCAGATTATTTGAGTGTCCTGTTATTTCAGTATGTCAGCAATTCATTTTGCTTTTTTCCAGTTGTAGGAGCGTCTGTGGTGTCTTCTATTGGCAATCGAAAACGGCAAGAATTCTGCAAACAGTATGACAATTACCCTGAGTTATGTTCTGGTGAGTTCATTCAATTATCGATTCTGTTTGCCTAAATCTGATGGTGGTTGATGCCATTTGGATTCTTATCATCAAAAAGTTGAGAAGCAAACAAATACAGCCTTGAATCCTTATACACTGCTCAAAAAATGTTAAGGACCACTTTATTCTTGTAATTTTTTTCCAAGCTATGAGTGGGGTTTAGTTCTTTCATTTTTTGTTTGTTAGATGGTGTTCTCTTTGGAATACAAAATTTAAAAAATGTTTCAGAACATCAAATGCACATTTTCAGCCATAAAATATCTCACATAAAAAAAGTATATACAAAATAAAAAGTGGTCCTTAAACTTTTTTTGAGTAGTGTATTTCATTTTCTCTGTAATTTTTTTAATAGAGTTAGTTTGGTGGCTAAACGGCATCCTTTCCACAGTTGAATCTGAAGTTGTTTTGCAAAATTAGACAGTGCCATTGTTTAAAAATACCTGATATGCAAGTTGATATTCAAATATTTGTTGATTTGAAATAGTGAAACATGTTTGACGAACATATTTGTTCCAGACAAAAATGTAAACAAAACCTTGCGACCTTTGCCTCTTGATGACTCAACACTGACAAGTAATCCTGCTTACAATCTGCCTATTGTTGTCGTACCAGGTAAGCTATTACAGCCCTGGAATAAAGTTGTCTCCCTTCTTGAACTTGCTTGTTAACTTTCTCTGTGGTCTTCTTGAAATTGGTTACTACCAGTATTTAGTGCAAAGTAATATGCATGTACTTGTCACGTGTAAAGTCGAGTGTTTGTACTTCCATTGAGCAAAGCTTAAACACTTGTCAGCTAAATGACTAATCTTTTACTTCAAATTTGCTTTGCCTTATATCTAAAGAAATCTGCCTTGAAATGAAAGATTGCATGGACTTTCTTTGTCTATTTGTGTTGATGTTTGAGCTTGCCATCTTAAACATGCTTGGTATTGTCAGATTTTCATACCACAGGGCCTGCAGATTAAGCTTGTGAATGCCGTCACATTTCATTTCTGATGCATCTTGTTTCTTCTCATAAACAATTGTTTCTGATGGAATTATTCCTTTGTATACTTGTAATTGTTCTAGCTTCATATCATGAGAAAGTGCCAGGAAAACGGAAGTATAGTATATGCAGATCAGAAATCAACTGTCTAATATAGAGGTTTGGCTCTACTGGCATAGTCAGAAATGTTGTCAGAATCATTTTAATGGCTTGAAGAGTATTTTATGTGATAATTTCAATTCTGCCTGTGGATTGGTTGGTTTGTACATTGTAAGAACCAGTCAATGAATAGTCGTGACATAATTCTTGGATATTGTACTCTCATTATGCCCAGGGACCCATTAACCCTAACCCCCAAGGATGTATGTAAAATCGTATTGAAATTGGGGGATTTGGGACTGTTAAGTTTAACCATGACATCCTTGGCTCTCTTACCAGAAATCTGCCTTAACCCTACAAAATCATACACTATTGAGTTTGCATAAAATTGGGACATTAAACCCCATGTTGTCATAAAACCATGGGCCCTACATTTCCTAATCCATCAAATTAATGGAAATCGTGTGTTAGGCTTCTGTGGGTAGGTCTGGATTGGAATATGTGGATATGTATTAGCTATGTTATTTCATTTGAATTGTGTCTGTCTGAAGACCCAAATCCTTGCTTGTCAAGATATTTAGCTTCTTTGTATTTTGCAGGGGTGGAATTGGAACCTCTTCAGAAGTGTTTGTCCTCGCTGATTGCTGTGCCTGGTCTAAAGCCTAACAATGTCTTGGTGGGTTGGCTGCTAACATCATAGAGTTTCTTTTCAGTGATGATGTAGTCTAGGGGTCAGTTTCATGGAACTACTGTAACAGACATGTAAAGCACAGATACGATAGATTTCAAACTTCTTGCATATACACCTTTCTTCTAAATAAACCTTCTGTAATGTATATTATGTATGAAGTTTTGTTCATCAGCGTCTTCAGTTGGTCTTCATATTAGGCATTTGTTTGTCTGCCAGAAATTGAAAGAAACTTTCAATTTTTTTGCCTTTGATTAAAACACCTCTGTCAATTTTACTCAAGCAGTTCATGCTTATGCTACCGTTTAATGCACCAGACTTGTTCCCTTAAAAATAAGAAATGGAAAATTAAAAGATTGCCTAATTTTTGTCATGAAATCCTACCTTATGTTCTAAGTGTTTTTGCATATTTTTTGTGTGGTTAGGACCAGTCCCAAGACTAGATTCAGTGCCGCTACCAAGCTTGAGACTCAAATTGAGACTGTTGGTGCTGTTTAGGTGTTGTGATGGTGTAATGATAGTCTTGAGGGGTTTCTACTTGTAATACTTCTGGTTTATTTACAGTCATTTGCAAAAGTTTAGGACCACCCATACTAAATGCATTAACCTGAAGAAAAACCAAACTTAAACCAGTCAATCATGGCAACTTACATGTATGTTTATTTTCAATGTGTAACCTATGTATATTGGTTAAACAGCTATTATGACTACATTTCTGTGTTTTGAAACGTTAACAGTCTAATATTTAGTGTGCCCTCCTTTCATACTGATTACTTAGACTAGCTTTTTTTTTTACAAAGGCTGCCTTACAGACAAAATGCCATTCAAGACCTACTTTCGCAAAAAAAATCATCAAATGGGTATAGAGCACTACACTGATGTTACGCACCATTGTAAAAACATGTCAAGTAATCGTTAAATGAGACAATTTAATGCAAGACCAGTGACAGAAATACCAATAAAATTCTAGGTGGTCTTAAAGTTTTGCAAATGACTGTACTATAGACTAATTCTATTTGGGTTCTTACTACTCTCCTATAGGTGGTACTGAATGGTAATTTTCCTGAGCCAAATGAACTAGTCCGGTTGTATGACTTTGCCATAGAGTACATCAAACCACAGGCAGACTATGCAGGTGAAGTAATGGACTTGTTTGTTACTTGACATATTACACCCGTTGAGTTTCACAATACTAATTGATATAGTTAATGCATTCTATGCCAATTAACTCCAATTTATGGTTTATGAAATATGTGTTAGGTAATGGTGTGTACAGTACAAAGTGTTTGTTTTTCCCTTGACAGCTTTCCTGTATGATGCCATCTCTCGTGCACTGGAACTTTTCAAGGGTAAGGAGAATCTAATTATCCTGGAAGATTATCTAGAGGTGACTCCAGACTTCTTAAGGTATTTCTCTCAGACATTGCACATGCTGGCCAAGGACCCGACTCTTCTGACTGTATCTGCCTGGAATCCTAACGGTAAGAATAACAATTTTGTTGTCTTTTTTTCTGTAACCCTCATTGAGTGCTTGCATTATAATCTCAATACGAAGTCCTGTCGAAATTAAGCATTGTTTAATGTTTTTGCATTTACTTTGGTGATAGTTAAGTAGCATTCAGTAATACATCTACATCTGTAAGAACTCTTCAATTATAGATTGTGTTTGAACAGTCACTGAATGAAATGTCCTGACTGAACACCTGCGTATTCGGTTTCTAAAGGTGTTGTTAACATTGGAAATTGAGAAATGATTTCTGCACAGCAATCATTGTATCCCCACATTGAGATGTAGCCTTGCAAACTTGACTTTGTGTAATTCTTGCTACTTGAAGGTCCTACATAATATTTTGTCTCTGGTAGGATTTGTCAGTACATCAGGTGATGAAACTCTTGTGTATAGGACGGATGACTTCCCAGGATTTGGGTGAGTTCAGCAAGGCAGGACTGAGGGATGCTTAAGGAGGAACTTTTTCTTCTACATCTTATCCATTTGCTTGGTGCTCATCCTTAAGAAAGTGTGCATCACTATGCTAAATGCCTGATAACCTGAGACTGTTACAAGCTGTTTAGTCCATGGATGTGGACTTCTGTTGCCTGAGCTAGTCTAACCTTATCTATACTACTAATAATAATAATCAACATGTGAACATAACTAAAGCTAAATCACAGAGCTTCCAAAGGCAAGATGAGCATAATAATGAAGTAAAGTAGATCAGTAGATAAAACAATGAATAGGTAAACACTATCATTAATAATTGCTTCAAGATTTATTGTAGCATGATTACATTGATATGCATGACCCCTTACAATAAACAGCAACTTATAGTCACTGATTGCATGTATCTATCTTGTCTATAGATGGATCATCCGTCGGTCTCTATGGACAGACAGGATGCAGAAACAGAAGGAATGTTGCACCTTACCTACCTGGAGGGGCTGGTCCTTAGGAGACCTCATGGGAGGTGGGTCTATCATACCTGATGTGTCAAGGGTCAAACGGATCAAAAGACAAGGAGGGTATTACGAGGACAAACCTTTCATGGTGCGTTACTTGATCAACCGAACAAGCTCCAGGTAAATTGTTTCCTTGGTTGCTAAGGAGAATATGATTATGTCTTGAAAGCAGCAGTGTTATACAGTCAGTCCGCAGTGCGCTGATAAGCCGTTCATTTAATGTGCACCATATGCATGACCTCATTGTGAATACTTAATGAGCTGGCGAAGACGCATGGAATGTGGGCCTCAATGTCCATTTTATTTTTTGATTGACATTGTTATCCATACAGTGGAACACAGATAAAAGACCACCTAATACAGGGTCATATTTATGAGGACAATTTTAGGTGCCAAGTTTTTGTTTTTATTTTCTTTGTTTTCCATTATTGATTATACAAGATAACTATCATAACAAGGTAATTTGTCAAGACCCAAGGACCTTGTTATAACAGTGTTCTGTATTTTCTTTTAAAGAAGTAATCATTCTATCATGCTAGCAAGTCTTTGGAACTTACTTAATATTTGGTGGGCGAAATCTATAACAGAAACAAAGGCTTCAAATTTCAACAAAATAGCCATTTAAAATGCCAAGATTTTCCATTTTTTAAATGTGACTGCAGCCTTATTTCATCTTCATGAAGAAAGAAATTTCATATTCCACTGAAAAACTCTCTGTTTGAGGTTGATTTTCACTTAGTCTAGTCAGGGCACAGAAAATTCCAATGATCGCCAAGAAAACGATGAGGGATTATGCCGCCATAACCAGATCTCAGTCTTCCTGCGCCTTCATTGGTCGAAAAAGACGTCATCAAATAATGCTTCGAATAAGGTGTAGTTTATGTATCATTACTGTATCACAGAACAAGTTGTTTTGAATATCATATCCATTTTTTATTAAATGTATCCAGAGCTAGACCCCTATAAAAAAATGCTGATCTCATTCCACATGTGCCGAAAACCAGCCGAAAAAAAGATGCAATCTCATACAAGAAAAGTGCCAGTAATATAAGTGCAAACACGTGGCCACGTGCTTAATAACATATCAAACGAAAGTCTAGTGCTTCTTCTATCGTTTGGTTGTAATAATTTTGGTCATTATTTGTTATTCTAGTCAGGGTGCAACAATCAAAATCATAGCTCCAAAACATCCTCAGAGTCTTACTTGATCTTCAAATGAACCAAATTATGCCTAAAATTAACTTAATCTAGACAAAAAAAAATGTGAGCTTCGGACTTACTACGCCATCTTGGAAACCCAGTGCTTCATTTGGAACATGTAGTTCATTAAAAAAATTTTGTTGAACTCTTGGCAAAATACGCTCAAGTCTTGTTGCAGATTCGAGCAGAAGGCCATGCAAACAAAGTATGGGATTGACTTCATCAGTGCATGCGCTGCGGACTGACTGTATAGGTCTGTATACTATTGTATTAGTTCAAATGGTGATGAAGAAAGAAATTTGTTTAAGTGTAGGTTCATAGGTACTGTAATCCATGGTCAGAGTTAACTGATCCAAGATTACATAGAACAATGTAACAAAGATCAATGTAATTTAGAACTAAAAACCAATCCTTAGCAAATTTTAATGTTAAGCACTATTATCAGTGAATTGGTTCATAGACAATATACATCATGTGACATTTTTGTCAGTAATTTTGCCAAGCAGATTTTATTGTGCCTAATTCATTATTCTCTAAAGTATCTCACTGAAATTTGTCCATCTGTTGTTAATTTTAATTACAGGTTTTGCCCTTACCCAACAGATATTCCTAAAAACTGTATACTCAGTGCTTGTCTGAGAGCTTCCGAAAAAATCCACAAGCTTACTCGGGTAGGACTCGAGCCCACGACCTCCCTCTTACTAGTGCAGACATCTTGACCACTTCACCACTGAGCTTGCCCATAACAAATATTAATATCCCCGACGCAAAGTACATCTTGACAGTAGTTCGTGGTACCTGCTGCTACATCTGTCTTAGACCGGCTAGCCGACCTCGGCAAGCTCGATAGTTGAGTGGTTAAGTTGTCTGCACTAGTGAGCAGGCGGTCGTGGGTTCGAGTCCTACCGGGTAAGCTTGTAAATTTTTTTTGGAAGCTCTTGGACAAGCACTGAGTACATGTACATAGTGTTTATAAAAATATACAGCAGCTAAGGGCAACACCCGTAATTAAAATTAACATTTCTTTGACAAAAAGTACATCTTGACAATACATCACTTGTTAACTATTCTCTCTTTTTTTCCCCCTTCTTATAAAGTGCTGGTCTTCTGTCGGAACCAACTATGGTCTACAAATTAGATGCCAAAGAGTATGAGAAAGAACTCCTTCGTCTTGTCACTCAAAGTGTGCCATTGAAACCAACTGAATTTACCAAGTGCCTAACTGGAGGCAAACTGTCACTAAAATTGGAAACTCATGCTAAGTAAGTACACCCGTACAGTTCTTGAATAATGATTTTCATGAAAACTTTGTATTTTCCACAAGATGACAAATTAAGCAGAGAAAAATTGTTAAAACTTAGAATTACATCAGAATCGACAAAGTTTTTAAAATATTGTTACATGTATCCCTGATTACGGGGTTAATGCATCCTTGGATCAGTGCCAATTTCTGGAGGAACCTACATGGTACATATGGCGGCCTTTGGGGCTCTGAACTGTTTTCAACCAATTCACATACGGTAGTCTCATGAGTTCCATTGATACCTTGGGGGAAAAAAAAGGCAATTAAACCCTTGCTGAGTGTGCAAGCCTTGTACCTGAACAGCTTGTACTTGATCAAACCTGAGCCTATTCACAAAGCTCAGTTTTGTTTTTAGCCTTAACTTTGTATAGGTTAACATTTTGAAGCCTTTAATGTTCAGGCCCAACAAAATGATTGTAGCTGTTGGATTCATATTGTATAGTTTGATGTTCTTGTAGAATAAAAACTGATCAATACTGCACAAGAATTTTCATCATCTGAGATGGAAAGTCTGAAAGTTGGAGCCTAGAAAGAAACAAGTACAAAACATGAGAAATGGCCAGTGTTCATTCTTCAATCTGTTTAACTTTTGCCAGAAAAAGATTGTTTGGACTCCTGAATCATAAACCCACATACTTTACGAGTTCTTCCAAAGGTGTTTTTTTATCATGGTATTTATCATGGTCATGGTATTTTTTATTTCTAGAAAAATTTATGCGGTTTTCTATGAGCAAGACTCAGTTGATGACCACACACTGCTTCTACAGCTATGCAAATGTTTTGGTCTGTTTGTGTTTGAAGATACCCCTTTGTATAACTTGCATAAGGGAATTGTAAGGTGAGTAAAAGTCGGAAATTGTTGAATGTGCTTTGGATGACACAAAGAATCTAATGTGTTACTCAGTGGTTGGATTTTTAATTGAAATAATGTAGTATACCATTGAAGTCACTATTTATTGAACCAGCGACTACAAGTAACAAAAAATTGGTTGAAGGGCTTTTTATTGATATTTAAAATGAAATTATAATAAAATTCTACCCCAAGTTTCCTTATATTTACCAAAACTTTGGGAGTTTTGCCTGTGATTAAATTTTTTTTACATTTTTGAATTATTTAATTAATTTTTTGTAATTTGAAACTTTTGAAATAAAGTTTCCTTGCAAAATAATCAGTTTACGACTGCTTCCCTATAGTCACAGGTGTATTGCCATAATGCAACCTCATGCTGTAATGACTTCTTTATACATGTTTAGTTTCACTCTTCTTCTTGTGCTTAGAGAATGATAGAAACCTGTTTTGCTTGTTCTGGCCAAGCAGTCAGTTACACTGCCTTGCTATAACATTCCCTCATCTTACCTCTGTAATCCACACAAACAGTAAAGCATTATGGAGGTCAGTCTTGGGAAACCAAACAAGTCACGTAATCTGTGAATTGATACATTACTGAAATTTAGTTGAAATAAATACACGTAAGTTGACCTTGGAATTCACTGGCTGAATTCTATGGCTAGAGAAATCCAACACATTACAGGTTATTTCATTGATATTGAGGTACTGTTTCATCTTATAGATTTCAGTTTTAATCATACATGTACTTTGATATTACAGATTTACTCACAGGGGAAATCATGTCATCTTGATTGGCAGTAAAACTGTTTACTTTGACAACCGCCCAAAGTCAGCAGAAGTTCTCTCAAATCATGGCAATACTAGTAAGTATTAAGGTATCTGAAAATCTTAAATCATATTTAATCATGTGTAACTGTTGGCTTTTATTCATTTCCACAAGTTAAAAATTTACTCACACAAATAGAGCCTTAACCACTTCATGCCGGGGCATTTTTCAATGATGATGATGCTGGGCCGGCATAATTATCATGTTTTTCGCTTTCAAAATTCTTCAAAAATTCGTCATTTCATTTAACGGACGTTTATAGCCGCACGAAATAATCTTTAGGCACTATTCTAAATTGACGGGTGACCTTCATTGACGCCCTAGTATTTCATCCAGGCCTGCAGCCTTGTAAAAAGAGCCTAGATTGTGCGGTGTTATGTAACTTTCTTTTGTTCACGAACCTGGCTCAGTTCACTGCTGACCTCTTTTCAATAGGGGCCAGATTAGCGTGCAGCGGTGCTGTGTGGCTCATCGCTGCAGTGGTGGAGCGCTTTTGTCCCTGGTGGTAATCCGCTCGCTATAAATGCCCCAAACCCTGGTATACGGTTTCAAAACAAGGCTGGATTATTACCACTTTTGAGAGTAAAAAATGTTGATAATGCCCAGCAGCCTGGTCTTTGTTCGGAGTACGGTCTTTTGTTACAGGGCCCTGTTTCCTTTGTCCGAGTTCGGAGACCCCGGCCATGCATATGAAGTATACGTCTCCGATTCCAGAGTCCCCGGCAGGAAGTGGTTGAAAGTTCTAAGTTCACTGAGTGGAAAAGAAAGGCAGCCTATCATTGGGTTGGATTGTTTTCAATGGTAACCATGTATTGTAAGATCTGGATATTGTTGGGATAGTTAAAATGTCAGGAAGTTAGGTAAATAATATTTATAACAGGCCTAACTCTGAGGGAATTTTGTAGCTTTTTCTCTTGTAAAGCTGTGTCATCCTTGCTAATACATGCTACATGTAATGATACATGTGACTCATTGGCAAAGCTGCGGGAGGGGTTGAAAATAAAGAAAAGCTTGAATTTTACTCTTTTCTTGTTTTCTTGCCTACAGATGACAAAGGTTGATGGAATGAAAATTTCAGGCAAAAGGCAGATAGCAATTATTCCAGGATATAGCAGTCATTTTTTATGTGCAGCGTAAGAAATCTTTCCCTTTTAAATTTTTTACACATTGTTTTATTATTTTGCCATGAATGTGACACAAACTTTGTGCATTTAATAATTTGGGCTAAGTTTAGATGTTGTGTTTTTGGGGGGGTCAAATATCAATTTATCATCCTAGCTGCATATCCCCATTTGAAGATTTTTCTTTAGAGAATACATAGAGAGAATTGTGTGGACTTTCTCTCACAATAAGACACGTACCTTGCATTACATCATTGCTGTAAGTTTGTTACTTTTACTTTATAATGTAATATCATGTTTGCTGATACAGGGTTCTATGGCAGTCTTGTGGGTACCATCCTATCCTAACATGCTTAGGGCCACATATGAAGCCAGATATAGGAAGGAGAGTACCTCCACCTTTGTGTTGGTCATTGTTTAATCAGAATCTCAGGAATTCTTTACAGACATCTGGGGATGTGTTAGGTAACAATAGTCTAGAGTGTGTATAGAGATTGGACAGGCATGGGACAGGTAAGGGGGGTTACCCGTAGGTCCCTTATCTTGCTGGGTTAGGGCCTGGTCTCTTTGACAACAAAAGAAAAACATGGAATTATTGGGCTTGTAGAGCGGATTAGAAAGAAAGCCTGTATTATTTTGATAAATTTGCCCCCCCCCCAGAAAAAAATTAGGGCAAAAAATGCATTCCATTGTATGTTGCAGTATAGTAATAGGAGGTTTTGTATATTTCGTCTCTTTTTTTACTTTATTGAATTTTTTTGAACTTGGATATATTATATCGAACTTTGGGGAAACCGTCATTTCCACTTCCATTTTGATGTTCACTGTAAAGATTTCCTATTACAGCCATCAAACGTTGCACTCGTCATTCTGGGTTTTTCATTATTTTTAACATTTTTTTTCATTACTTTTTACAATTTTCTTTTCTACCTGCCCCTTTTATAAATTTTATTCCATTTGGTTTCCTTTTCAGCTTACTTGCTGTTTATATTATGCTTACACTTATTGAAATGTAATAAAAGAAATATTACATTTATTTTGCTTGCACTTTTTCAACCTGTTACTTATTGCATTAGATACAAATCAAAACTTTTTATATAAATATATGCAACTGAAAATTTACTTGAATTCAAAGGAGGTGTACATTTTGTTGAGACATTTGTAAAATATACCCATTTGGATTAAAGGAATTGTTTAACAGACCTCTGAACAGATTTTTTACTTTTGTAACTGTGTGAGATTAAATGTAATGGTGCCCTTTGCAACTATTTAAAATACCTCAGCAAGTGAGATGAGCCTGTTCTTCCAAATCCATAAAAATAATGAAAGCTCAATTCAAATCAATGTACTTAATTTTTTTTCACTTGGAAAGAACCCAATGTGTATTTGTGAATTTTTGAATTCAAACTTTTTTCTTGAATCCCTTATGATTTCACAGTCTTGGTCTTTTGAAATAAAGGTACATGTACTCGGGATTAATTTTTTTCGTAGGGGATTACAGAAAATGTCTCCAAACTGCAGCCAAGACAGAAAATGTGCTCATTTCCCATTTGTACATGTATATGACTGAATACCAAGAATAAAAAGCATGGAAAATTTTGAACTCTCCATTTCTGAGGAAAACAATTTTACTTTATTAACAAAATAGACCTATGTACCGGTTCTGCTGACATTTTATATATTTTTTAATTTGATGCTAGTCCATTTCCCAGTCTGTTTAGAGAAAATTGTTCCAATTAAGACCTAGCTTTTGTAACTTAAAATTTCAACATGATGCAAGAAATCAAGGCTTTCACGTTTATGAACTTCAGCCAGCAGTTGCTGGTTTCAACACAGAAACTCTTTTGTTTCATAGTTTCCCGCTAAGTTGAATTTGCATACTTGGTTAATACCTAAAATATATCCAACTTGTACACCACAAGTTTTTGGGGTGTTTTAGAGGAAGGAAGAAGTACACAAGTAATAGGAAGCCATACAAGCTCTAAACAATGTTGGTGAAGTTTTCAATCAGCACAAAATTGAAAAAAATATAATTCAGGATACAATTTGCAAGTTCAATTTTGAAACAAACCATTTTCTACCACCTAAATTCCTTACAGATTCAGCCAAAGAAGTACACATCAAACTGTATCAAAACAAAATACATGCAGCATCTCAACTTTGCAAGTTACCCTGAATAACAATTTTTTTTTAGAGATCGGGTTTGCAATAAACAGGCAAATCAATTGCAACGGTGTCCAACATGCAGTCTGGTATCCTTGGGACTTCAATATCAAGTCATTAGATAAAGTAATGTGAATTTGCAAGAATCTACAGAAACAGATCAAACAACTTCATGTAATATATCACTCCAAATTAGTAAAGCTTACAGGAAGTATAAGCCTTGTGAAATGAAGACTTTCTTAACAACAATGGTTGCTAATGTGGTAACTATGACTCCTCTGTGGATGCATCATCATTTGGTGTTTCAGCTTCCTCTTCAGATGATCGTTGCTTCTGCTAGTTAAACAAGTGTCACAAGCTTACATTTGTGCCTACTGTTAGTTGGTAAACTAAGGCTGGCCTTTAGCTTACAAGCAAAATAATTCATGAAGTATTACCAAAATCTGAAGCAATTTTCACAACACCAGATAAAAATACTACCCTTCAATACCAAATGAAAGGGTCTCCCTTTGTTTAGGGATCCTAATAGGGTTATTGTCACTATAATTCTGTGATTATGCTTACTCAAATTGTCGACAACATTTACAAATGAAAAATATATCTTGGCTCAGTGCCCATGTACCCTCAAGTGTTAGCAAATGCTACAAATTTAATTGACTGATGAATGAGGGCACATATGGATGCATATGACGTTACTGATGAGCTAACACATTAACACCTGCCAAAGGAAAGCTATGTGGAAAAATTATGGACACACAATGGACAGAAGCTGATAGATAAATAATCACTCTACAATTGAATTTGTCCACAGATAAATGCAGGTAAAATCCACCCTGCAAATCTAAGCTTTACCTTGGGTTTCCTTCCCCTTTTCTTTTTTTCAGGCGGGGCCTCCTTCTGTTGGTTGGATAAATGAAGAACGTTAAGAAAGTCAGGGATGCCACTGGGATTGGGTCAATCGTTGGAAAACGGGCGGACAAATATTTGTAAAATCAACAATGCCCAAAAGTGGATGAATGTCTGTATTCAATTCGTTTCAACTAAAAATAGTCGTTCAATTCCATTAGATGGTTACATGTAAATAGAATTTAAAGGAGGTGCTTTCTTACCACCTACACAGAGATCCAGTGGGAAATGTACATGCAAGATATTCCAAGATCTTTGAGCAGTCTTTTATGATAACGTCAATTGCTCTCTTACTGAAATATATAATTCATACCTTTGGTGGTTGTGCTTTGGTTTTGGGGGCTTTTGCCTTTTTTGTCTCCTTGGTAGCTTGACCATTTTCCTTGGTGGATTTGCTCTTTGCTTCTTTGGGCTTGATAACAGGGGCCTTCAGGTTTGGGAAGGGGAAATAATTGGATTAGATTAATACTTTATATCATCGATGGATTTAAAGGCTCAATTCACACAGCAATATGTTTTGGCCCTTTTTCGAAGCGCGGCTAAATTACTGGCCATGCCTTTCCCCCAGTTCCCACGATTTCATGTTTGGCCTAAATGCAAAGATTTCTCTCGCTGATTTCATAATGGTTCAATTAATGATTAAGCAAGTTGATGTTTCTGAGAACTGCGTAACAAGTGATTCCACTTAAAAATTTCCCGATTTCCCTTTAATTTAATTGATCTTATGCTTGTTTTGTAAATATAATTCACAAAAAGGAACATTCGTGAGTCCACATATATATACAATCCGTACTACTCATGTTTAAATAAATTACTATGCACCACCAACACTTACCTCTGTACTTGGCGCGGGATTCTTCCGAGGTCGACCACGTCCTCTCTTCGGCGGGGCTTGAGTTACAGCATCTCCCGTGGCCGCCCCGTGATCATTGCTAGAATCGTCCATCGTGGTGGAGACGCTTGGGGCTGAGCCGAGATAAGAAGTCTTGCAATCGTTCGCCGAAGTGGAAAAAAATTTTCCCACGAGAACTTACGATGAAGGCAGAGCCTCGAAATTGCTGCATGAACTGAAGCTGTTGAATTTTTGTGAGGTAGGAACACCCACGCGCCAATGCCAGTACAAAAACACGTGCGTAATGTTATTTAAACGTAACCGACGACGCTAAAATGAAATGCCGCGGAACAGTCTGGAGCGATCCGGTTTTCTGTACGGTGGCCCCGCGCAAACTTCGTACATGTAAATAGACAATATAATAAAGTCGCAGTTTGAGCTAGAACATGAATTCCCATCGCAGCACACCTTATAGCTGTTGATGTTCTCTTGGAACAATTGTGTGGTCTGAAAAACACAAATATTCCACATCGTCTGAGACTCTGTTACGTTCAATATCTTATATGCAAAGATTATTACAATGACACAGGAAAGCCTTTTTTTTGGGGGGGGGAAGGGTGGTTTAATGCTTTATAGCATTTATTTCAGTTATTGCCATCATAATTTAGCTTCATAGAAACAAATTAAAATTAAATACTGCATGATCCTGGTGCAATGTAACAGAAAATCTCTCAAGAGTTCTGGACATGGATGATCTGGTCCTTTTCCGGTCGTGTGACTTACACAAAGGCCATGTAACGTGGGCCAATCACAAACTTGCTTGCTTCATGCAAACCTTTATTAGGTAATACGTTTTCATGCTGCTGCTGCTGCTTTGCAGAGTTCTGTCCAAGGAATTCACTGTCAGCTATTGTCATGGGCAAAGTTTGCAAATTTAAGATCTCCAGAACATGATTGTTGATAATGAAAATGTATGCCATGTACATGTATGTAGATAATACATATGTAGAGAATACATGACCCCAACAACCAGAATCCGAACTCTTGGTTATCAAAGTGAGTATGATGCTTATTGCAATTCAATCACACATAATCTTTTATCATCAAACTGTTGAAGCTATGCTGCAATAGGCCTCTCTCAAATGACGTCACGTCAAGTGATGTCAATAGTCAAGTCAAGTGATGTCAATAGTCAAGTCAAGTGATGTGCATAAGCTATGTCAGGCTTTAAAGATATTTGGGTCAAGATGGGCATGTGTATAGAATACTTCTCACACACTCCGCACATGCACCTGATGGCACTGGATATACAATTCTAATTTCCCTACAAAGATGGCATCCCACAAGAGAGATCTATAGCAGAATTTTATACGATACTAGTATGTCAACAATCTTTGATTAACAGTGAGAACAAATTTACAAAAAGCTATATTGGAGTTTAAAAAATAAACGGTATGCCAAATAGAGATGTTGTGGATTTCTAAAAGGAAAATTGTACACTTGCAGGTGACTTTGTGTAGCAGAGAACAGTAAAAAGCTGAGCCATCAAACATAAACTCCTGCATTTTCTGTATGATTTGCCAATGCCATTAATACACTTTTGAAAGAACTGTAGTCAAGTTCATCACATGCCTTATTAAAAATAACAAATATTGTTATTACAACAATAACGCAGGACTGCCTGTGAGATGTGAAGTTTTTCATGATGAAGGTAGCAAGTTATGTAGTAGGTTTGTGGTGGTACCATGTAAAATATCACTTTTTGTGCGTACAAATGGTTCTGAGTCCCCTCCTTTCAAAACCATACACACTCATAAAAAAGATTTTACATGATGCTAATGCAAACCTATTACATATACATAACTTAGGACTGTCTATGTTTGAGATCATCTGATGAAAGGCTTGTGATTATACTTGATACGTAATGATGACTTAGGATGAACTTAAGTTGACTGCTCGCCCTACTTGAGCAGCTCAAACATTGTAATGAGAACACGCCTGAGATCATATGCCCCCAAAGCAGGCATACTTGATGTTCAGGTATTCATTAATTCCATATTTAGAGCCCTCTATCCCAAGGCCTGACTGCTTGATACCACCAAATGCTCCGGCCTCTGAGGACAAAAGACCCTCATTGATGCCAACCAAGCCTGATTCTAGCTTCTCAGCCACTCGCCAGATCTGACCAATGTCGTTGGAGTAGAAGTAACTAGCCAGGCCAAATGGAGATGCATTGGCAAGGGCTACAACTTCTGCCTCTGTCTCAAATCTGGAAAATAAAACAGATTCATAGAGTACAAATGTACAATGCCAGTAACTAATGAGACTTGTACAAGGTAATTGAAAACAAGTTTTTTCCCTAACTTTAGTTTGGCAAGAAACCATGCTTAACGCAAAACACAGTTTTCAAAATGACAGCCTGGTAATTAAGACAAAACTTGAGCAGGTCACCTATCCTCTCGATCAAAAGAGCCTGTCATTGGCTCCATTACACTCAAATGTGATAAGGATTGATTGAGCATGCTCATTTTGGCTTGTATTTTGGCCATTAGGCTGTTGCACTTGTGTGCATCTTGCTGGGTAAATAAATATAAACAGCTGTGTAGCAAACTTTGACAAGTGTAAACAGGTGTTGGCATGTGGACAAGTTGCCTACACGATGCACTTGCGAGTTGGCCACTGAGGGATCCATATTGCCCTTACTAGAGGGTAATTTTGAATAGAGAATGTTTCCCATACCTTATCAGTGGAGCAAGGGGCCCAAATGTCTCCTCAGAGCACACCAAAGCATCTTGGGAGACATCCAACAAGAGAGTAGGCTCAAAGAAAGTCCTTCCAAGTTTATGTCGTTTTCCTCCAGTGAGAACTTTAGCCCCACGTGATATGGCATCATCAATGTGCCTTTCAACCTGTAGCAAGAGTCAGAAAGCTGATGTTGAAGATTTCTAAGTCACAGAAATATGATTAGCCAGGCTAAGTTCACCGACTGACGTTTTAACTAACAAAGATCTCTTCAAGAAATTCATAGAAAGACCAGCGTTCACAACTAAACTGTAAATAAATAAAACACCACACATCTTTTTTGGGGGGGGGGTTGGATGAAAATATTAATATGATTAAAGCAGGATTCAAAGCAGTGACACAAGGAATACCATACTAAGCTATTTTTGTGGTTCAAGTTGCAGCTTTTGATTAGCACCTCTGAGAAAGACAGTGAGATAGAAGCCTTTTCCATAACCATTTATTAATCCTCATTTATTTATGTGGTTTATTTAGTGACATTTAGTAGCAGCAGCTTTAGCTTAACCACATGGTGCCAGGGTTTCTGGTACTGGGTACCTTGGGTTTGTACACATAGCCGGGGTGCCCAGTACTGGGTACCTTGGGTTTGTACGCATAGCCAGGGTGCTCGAAATCATACAAAGGAGCTGGGCCTTGTAACAAAAGACCGTACTCAAAACAAAAGACCAAGTTATTTCAAAGATGGATTTGTGCCGGGGAGATGTAAATTAATTTTTGGATTTTTGCCCAACCCGACATTATAGTTGTTCGAAGTTCCCCGCTGCTACATCTGACTCGAACTAGCCAGCCGACACCGACAAGCTCGGTGGTCAAGTGGTTAAGACGTCTGCACTACTAAGCAGGAGGTCGTGGGGTTCGAGTCCCACCTGCGTACGTTTGTGGTTTTTTCACAAGCCCTCGGGGGCATATACTGAGTATACAGTGTTAAAATACACGTCGGGCTGGGCAATAATTTTTCAGCTGGTATTAGCAGAGGTAATCTGTCATTGTTTTGAAACAGTATATTGCTTTTTGCGGCATTCGGCACCTGCGGATTATTAGTGAGGAAAAACGTGCTCCAGCACTCTGGTGATGAGTGATACAGTACAGCTGCACGCTAATCTGGCCGTATTTGAAAAGACACTACTGCCATTCAGCGACGCATTGGGCCAATTTCAGGAACAAAGGAAATTACGCAACACCACACAATCTGGGCTCTTTTTACTGGGCCGAAATACTCCGGCATAATCAATGGAGGTTGCATGACGGATTAAAGTAGCCACCAGCCAGTTATTCATGTGGGTGTAAACGTTCAGTAAATGAAGTTATGAATTTTAGACGAATTTTGAAAATGGAAAATCTTGAAAATCACCCGAGAACTTGTCCCGGATATGCAAATTCCACCCGGCAGGAAGTGGTTAACAGTTTGAAATTCAAACGTGAGATCATATCCTCCCCTGATCCAACTGTTCAATTATTATAGGCACCTAGGAATCAAAGGTTGATTGGTTCAAGCATTGATCAACAAACACAAACATGCATGCTCAAAAAGCTCAGACTCACGGCCATTTTTAGCTTGAATTTTTTTTTAATTGTCATATCCAGAGTTTGGCTACTCACTTTCTCAACAGCTTTGTCATTAATAAGTGGTCCTTGTGTCACCCCTGACTCCATCCCATCTCCAATTACAAGGTTGCTAATCTTTGCAGCCAGCTTCTGGCTGAATTCTGTGTAGATCCCATCCTGCACATAGATGCGATTAGCACAGACACAGGTCTACATATGTAAATGAAAGAAAAAAAGAATAATAATTAAGGCCCACAGTTGAGAGACCCAAAGAGGGAAAATGTAACTGAAATGTCAATATAATATGGGGAGAGGGGCGTGTGGCTGGGTACTCGGCTGGAAACTGAACAGAGAGGCATTAAAACTGGAAAGTTAATAAAAAGAGAGGTAATTGCAAAGACTTTATTGCAAACACACAAATACAAAAAACAAGTCTGGTCCAAGCCAATTTGACTCATCAGGCATGAAACAACCAAGAATATTTCTATTCCCCCTGGATAGGATGCCAGTCCATCGCAGGTTACTTCCCCAGCTAATGCGGGTACCCATTGATACTCCTGGGTGGAGAAAGGCAAGCAGGGGTGAAGTGGATTGCCAAGGGCCACAACATACTGCCAGCAGCGGGATTGGAACTTCCAACCCTATGACTGGAAGCCACAGATCCTAACCACTTGGCCACACGCCCCCAACACACAAATAAGGAAAGCTGCATATCGGTACCCACGAGGCACAAATTGTCCCACACTCTCCTTATTGCTTTAGCTGTCTAACCCGATGCACAAACTGGAAGAAGTAACACCAACCTGTCCCATGCCACGAAATTTGCAAGCAATAGCTCCATCAACTGCTGCATCAACACTGGCAGAATCAAAGACAATGAAAGGGGCATTCCCACCCAGCTCCATCGACACCCGTTTCACTGTGCTGGAAGCTTGCTGGAGGAGAATCTGAAACGAACAAACAAACAAACCATTTCTTTTTGGATCATATAATTATCTACACTATTTACTTGATACTAGAAATAAAGACACACATTCATAAGAGAGAATAGAACCTGCTGTTCCATAATGGATACAATATCTACCTTGCCAGTAGCTGTCGATCCAGTGAAGGATATCTTTGAAACCAGTGGACTTTCACAAAGAACTTTGCCAACTTCAGCAGCATGATCTCTGGAGCAAGTTACTACATTGAAAACACCAGGAGGTACACCAGCTTCCTCAGCTAACTATTGAAAAAAGAAATGAATTGATATTTAAGAACCACTTCTGCCATGCACCTACGGTTTGTGGTCATCTCTGGTAATCGGATCAATCTGAGGCTGAAACATTTCATGAATTGTTCTAATTTCTGTTATTTAAGTTTATTTTCCTTTTCAGTGTGACATGGCAATATTGGCAAAAAAAAAAAGAAAATAAAATTAAAGTGGTGACTAAAATAAGTCAGATGAGCCATCTCAGGTTTGAATAGATTTCTTTCAAATGACATCATTACCCACAGACTTCCAAATGTGTCGGCACTTTAGATATCTAATTTTCATTAACTAAATCAGCTGCATAGTATATCAAAGATATATGGATCAACATAAGTGAGTATACATTAGGCCACTTGGATATGAGGATGGTGTCCTATATATGTAATTAAAAAGACCTACAGGCAGTGGACATCTAGTGTCCGAATTGCTTGGCTGTGGCTTGTAATTGTGCATAAGTTTATGGAAACACTTGCAGTGGCTAACTAGTGGCTATCATAGGCACAGACACTACCTCCAGTTGGAGTGACTACCTCAGTCACCCCAACTCTATTCTAAGTGTGTGTTTGGAACCAGTTAGTGTCCATGATGTACCAAATGATATGCATGTCCTTAGCAATGTCCACAGATTCTGTCCAATGTCCACACCAGTTACTATGGTTACTTACTGGTATTAATGCAAGAGCTGATAGGGGTGTGTCCTCGGCAGGTTTGACGACTGTAGTGCAACCAGCAGCCAAGGCAGCACCCACCTTACGTGTGATCATAGCACTTGGAAAATTCCACTACAAGAAATAAAAGTACAAAAATTAATGATGAAACAAGAGTTTTATACATGTAGATGTAACACAACACAATAAATACAACAAACAAAACATACATTCTTACGGTAATGGCTAAAATATATTAAAATATTGGCACTGTACTTGCCAATCTCTATTAAGTGTCAGATTCCAATTCTGGATGAAATTGGTGATCACTGTGCTACCTCAATGATATGTTCACTGCTTGTCATGCATCAGGTACTCTTTTGGAGTCACTTTCTTTCATGTTCTTTCTTTTCTTTATTTTTTCAATCAAATCCTTTATTTTCCACCAATGTTTCTCTTTTCTTGTTTTTTAAATTGTACCCCTGTAGGATTTTTTTTAAAGGGAAGTAAAGAAAAAGATCCTTTCATTACATACTGCTCTGATTCCTGTCTCCAATGCTGTAGGTTAATGCCAAAGAAATAGACAGCAACCAATACGGTGCTGAAACTATAGACTGATCTGACAAGATGCCATTCCAAGGGCCAATTTACACTCACGTAGCTGTCTCAACCTGTGAGCACATGCACCTACTTTGGCAATTGACAACTGCCTATTGGTCAGGAAGGAATTTCACGCGCATGGACCACCTGTGTGTGAACAGGATGGAGCCATAGTAATGGCTTCCTTCCCTTTATACTCTGGCCCCTCCTTTGAACTTGACATACATGTACAACCCTCACCGGTGTTATCATAGCTGCCACACCCACAGGCTGCTTTAAGAACATCATGCGCTTGCTCTTCACAATGGTTGGCAAGACATCCCCATAGCAACGTTTGGCTTCTTCCGAAAACCAATCGAAGAAAGACGCCGCATAAAGGATTTCTCCCTTAGCTTCCGCCAGAGGTTTTCCCTATTAGAATGGAAACTTTACGTTACTTGGTGACAAAATAAATCTCATCTAATAATCTAATTAAAAATTAGCATCAAAGAGAAAAACATGATTTTGAGAGTAAGTTTATTCCCTGACCCACTGCTCACCATTTCAGCTGTTAGAATCTTGGCCAATTCCTCCTGGTTCTCAATCATGAGATCATACCATCGCCTTAGGATTACACTCCTTTCCTTAGCAGTTGTCTCTGACCATCCTTGGAATGCATCATAGGCAGCCTGGATTGCATCTGTAGTTTCTGTAACTCCAAGATCTGGGATACTGGTAATTTCAATCCCATTGGCTGGGTTAATTACAGGAAATGAATTGTTACTTGACACCCAGGAACCTCCAATGTAAGCTTGATCACGAAGCAGGCAATCATTGATTCGACTGGACTGGTGCAGACGACAAGAAGGAAGTCTGGGAGGATGTTTGTGTAGGGCTGATACTTTCCATGCACACTGCCTAAAGAGACAGATGGTACTCAAGATGGACTGCATTTTTAATGGTTTGCTGTCACATCAGGAATATGGTGAGGCCTCTGTGAAATGAAAATTTGCGTACATGCACATGTAGGCTAATAATTATAACCCCCAACAAAGAATTTGTCAAGAAATTTAACATATAAATTCAACTTTGTGCTTTGTAATGCATATGTACTGTATTTTCTGCAGCTGATTTCACAAAAGGTGGCATAACTTTGAACTATACGTAAGCCTTGCACCCAAAATTTGTGCTGTAGATGTGCAATTTCAAGAAAAGTTGCTTAGTTGCACAATGTTCTAATTACAATTAGGGCCCTAGGCCAGAAATCTTATTTATAGATAAAATGATAACAGCTTTCACAACGGCTATTCCTTTGCAATATTACGTACAACCATGACAACAGCCATCAAATAGTCATTGAATTATGTCCACCTGTCATTTTGAAAAAGTTTTTCCCTTTTCTTCAAATAGAACCGGACAGATAACCTTGAATTAGCAATAGGCCTAGGCCCTAAGGTTTTTTACATGTAGCCTATATGAAGCCTATATGAAGGGCCCTGTTTACGGGTCTAGTCATTCTGCAAATCTGACAAAAGTGAATTTTAGCTAAGCCCTTCTCGCGTACTAACGTTAGTCACTACTAAAGTACTAGGTTATGTTTAGCTACGCCCACTGTTGTGTGTTAATTCCGGGCGTCAATTTGTCGACTCCCTTCTGTAATTCTGTATGCGAAAGTGGTCCTGAAATTCATAATCCCCGACATGCCCGAGGCAAGAGTTCCATCAAAAAGCAAAACAACCTCCAAAATACTAACTCACTTTGGATGTTACAGGTACTGAGGTAGGCTTTAGTTCGATCATAGAGCAAGGACACAATCTACAGGCTAAACTCAACTAGCCCACCCCAGGTTTGCGAGGTACGTTTGCGGCTAACGTTAGTCGCAATGCCATGTACATGTACTACGTACATGTAGACGGCGTCCAGTCGCAATGTAGACGTCGTCCAACCTGGGCCACTTAGTGACGTCAAGTCATTCATGTCGTTCTCCACATGGTACAAGCAACATCCAGCTTGCCAGCTTGCTAACGTACGCCACCAGGCTGAAATTTGCACGATTTTCCCTAATTTTCGACTGGCCTAATTTTCGGTAGGACGCTATTTGTACGGCTGCAAGTATTCGTTCACAAAGCCAGCCAGAAATTCTACGGGGGCCAACCACAGCATGGCAGCAAGAGCCCATAAACGTCCACAAACAAAAAAAGCAATGTTTAAATAAATCTTTCATTGGAATATATCTTAGCTATGAAACAACGTGAACAACTGAGAATCGGGTTCTTTTATTTCACCAACAGGAAACGGAAACACAGATCGGAGCATGTGAGAAAAAGCACTAAGCTTTCGCGTAAAATGGATGAGGGCGCTAGTGCAGACAATAATTTTACGCCAGTATCGGATGGCCCCAAACTAACTTGACTTGCCTTCGCGGACCGAATCGCAATCTGTATACTACGAATTTTTCTTCTATTAAGGAATTTCGTGGCACGTGAACTCGGTGGTTTGCAAAGAAGAAGCATGGAATTGAAAAGCAGAGATTTAAAATAGTGTCGGAGTCTATTTAGAAAGTATGAGACAAGAAAACGCAAAAATCAAAATCGCTCTATTTAAGCAAAATACGCATAGGCATCAGTTCTCAAAACAGTGACTAACAATTTTTTAAATGATGATTTCGGAACAAGATCAAAGGATTCAGAACAAAACCCTGCAGTTGGGTGATGTTCGTTTTCAGCCGAATGATGCGGCCCACAGGCTGTCTTAGCCCAATTGATTTAAGGAGTCGACGCACCCAATTTGGAACAAAACCGGGAAAATCAATTTCTGGAGCTGATGTCCGCTTCAAACGATTTTGTAATATACCAGATTTTAAAAAAAGTGTGCTTTTCTCTAAAGGAATGTATGGGGGGGCCCTAGGCACACTTAATCGTTTGAAAACTTACATCAGCTCAGAAACCGATTTTCCCGTTTTTGTTCCTAATCAGGTGCTTCGACTCCTGAAGTCAATTGGGCTGAGACAGCCTGTGGGCCGAATCATTCGGGGCCCTAATTACGTGTGTCTAGGGGTCCCCCTACACATTTCTTTAGAGAAAAGCAAAATTGTTAGAAATCTATGATGATATAAAATCGTTTGAAAGCGGACATCAGCCCAGAAACTGATCGTCGGCAGGGTTTTGTTCCTAATCGGGTGCGTCGATTCCAGGCTGAAATCAATTGGGCTGAGACAGCCTGTGGGCTGAATCATTCTGCTGAAAGCGGACATCACCCCAAGGTGTTGTTCCGAATCCTTTGATCTTGCTCCGAAATTTACATTAAAGAAGTTGTTAGTCTCCGTGTTGAGAATTGATGCCCATGCGTGTTAAATAGAGCGATTTTGATTTTTGCGTTTTCGTGTTTCATACTTTCTAAATAGATTCCAACACTCTTTTAAATTATATGCTACTCTACAAAATATTGGGTTCACTTGCTACGAAATTCCTTAATGACAGAAAAGCTGACACTGAGTATACAAATTGCGCCGCCGGGATTCGGTCCACGAATGATTATTTAGGCCATCACTGGCATCATTATTGCGCCCTCATCCATTTTGCACGAAGGCTTAGTGTTTTTCTTACATGTTCCGGTATGTGTTTCCTGTCGTTGAAATAAAAGAACCAGATTCTTAGTTGTTTACGTTGCTTCATAGCTAAGATACAATGTATATTCCAACGAAGGATTTATTTGAACGTTGTTTTTTTCTGTTTTTTTGTTTGTGGACGTTTAGGGCTCTTGCTGCTATGCCGTGATCGGCCTCCGTAGAATTTCTGGCCAGTTACGTGAACGATTACTTGCTGTCGTAAATATAGCGTCCAGCCGAAAATCAGGCTAGCCGAAAATCGTGCTTCTCTATCGCCTGGCCGCGCTTGACATGCAGCTGGTTGCACACAGACAATCACGAATCGCATACGTGCACGTGTTGACTCTACTTAACAGTGGAAATTGTGCCGTCAGATCAGAGAACAAGATCGTTCGGGCTCGAAGAGACTGGTGCCAATATGACGCCCCAAAACCCGCCAAAACGCAAAAACGCCTGCATCATATAGCGGTTTTTCGACATGAGGCGTCTGGGTGTGACTCGACAGCAGACGACGCGTCGACTTGCGGTGCGAAAACCTGGAGTTTAGAACTTAGAAAATGAAGTGGGTGAAGTGCTAGGATGCGCACAAATAATGAAAATGACTGGGTCGAAGAGGTATGAACATTTGTGTCATGAATACTTTGGATTAAAAAAAGACAAGCTAAGCACTGTATACGAATTTGTACAAGTTTAAAACACCCCAATGCAACGGCACATCGGTCAATGCAACAGGCCCTATCGTGATCATGTGACATGTCTTGTCAACACGGTAAAAGCGAATAACATTACACTTTTGGAGAGCTCAAGCCTCCACATGAGCAAATCCTGCTGCTTTAATATTTCTCAGTAGTTATAGATACAATACCTTATTCAAATTGTGGTAGCTGAGTTCTGTTATATAGTAACTAAGCATTTTAATGTCCACTGCACCTGACCGGTATAATTTCGATGGTTTTCCTTTCAGGAGGAACTGGTGGTCGTTGAATTGTCAGGCATCGTAGACCCAGAGTACTTGTCGAAATGTAGAAGTTCCAGTTTCAAATTGCTTGTATGTTAAGGATTTATGCATTATTTCTTTCTGTTTCCCTTTGAGGCCACTTTAACCTGATTGATTTAACCTGAGATTGTCATTTTCATAGTCACAGAATCTTTACTCATGTGGGATTATCATTTAAATAAAGTCTTTTTTTACAAAAATGGGACAAAAATCTTAACCCTGGATCTAAAATATTGACCAAAATTTGACATAGGGTTACTGACCCCTATGAGATAGGGAAGGGGAACTGTTAGTTTTACCATTCTGATCTGTCTTGTGGTGCACAGCTATCTCAAAAACAAGTTTCATGAAGAAGAAAGCTTAATAATTCCTAGAAGAGAGAGGAATAAGTGAAACAAATCAGAATTATAAAGCAGAGATCAAAATTATTTGAAGTATTAAATAGGTACATGTAGCATATTTCAATTTTAAACATGAAACAGAGGTGTTATGTTCTTAAACAAGGAAGCATTTATGCTCAGTCTAATTTCCTTTCATCAATCTGGACCAAAAAGATTTCTTTATGGGTGGATATGGTGTAATCATTACTGTTCAATTATTCCAAAAAGAGTCGAGATTATTTCAACTTATGTTCACTTGTGCACATAACTCATCCAATGTTCCCATGTTACCAGAGTCGATTTTTATTAGTACATGTAAATGCAGCTGATTCAATAACAATAATTGTTTCAACTCTTCCTTAAGGGTATAGAGACAGATGAACCAGTGATGCAGCTTGGTAGCTATATATTCACTGGACAACACAAGAATATGCTGGGTACTGCTGTCATATTTGAAAAAACAAATAACCAAGGTGAGGAGGTCGCATATTTACTCATTACTCAGGAATGAAGGGCTGGTATAAACTGAGTTTGTTACGAATGACATAATTTTAGACTTCCTTCAAGAAAAAAAATGTGGCGAGAAGAAAAAGAACAGAAAATAAACAGTGCACATGTTGACAATCTGTTATTATTTCAGCTCTGATTTAACCCTTATTTGTTCTCGATGGTGATGAATGTAGGTATGCCACCAGTCAGTGTTGTCAGACAGTTGACAGAGAACAAGATTTTACCAGGATGTTTTGAGTTGGGCCAATAAATATTTCCCAACTGAGGCCATTATATGTCTCAATTTCCTTCTTTGTTTTATACACTGCACTGAGTATATTTCTTTTTTTGTAGATCAAGGGAAAGAAAATCTGCAATGGAGGTTCAAGTGTCAGACTGACAAAAAGATGGAAATGCAGCGAGCTCACTTGAAACCTAAACAAACAGCTCAAGGTAACAACAAAGGAGTAATGTTGAACAGTTAAAGAAAGTCATGCTACTGTTAATAGTGTGCATTGTGTGAGGCTGTGCATTGTAATAATTGCACTAATGGCCAACCAGTCAGTGTAAAAGGCTTGAAATTACTGAATGTATTCCAAATACTGGATGTACTCATGCTTACATAATATTGGATATATTGTGTGTCACTATTAGAAACATTTTGCTGTTCTTTCTTAACCTCTCTGTGAACTTGACTAAATTTACTACCCCAGCAACAAATCACACTGTTCTTACCTGCTGCTTTATGATTTCCCAGCAGAGGACATTTTTATAATTACATACCCAGCACCCCTATTGAAGAAAAAAACAAAAATGCACTGCAGGAGAAGCAAGGTCCTAGGAGTATTTATTACATGTACCGACTCCATTTCTTGCTTTTCGTTCTGTACTAGAAGCATCAAAGTCGCCCCAAGAAGGTGATGTGATACCAGAGACACAAAGCCAAGAACCTGTAGCACCTACATGATACTTTGGAGTGATTGGACAAGAAGTTTTTATATACTGGCTGTTTCAGTGACTTGCTTTCAAGATTGGATTGAACTAGCCAATCACAGACTTCCAAATCTACTGCAAAGAAACTGAGCTGTCAGTAACATGGCAGCCAGGATTTCATTGGGTAACTTATCAAAACAACTTTGTAAATACATGAGTTTCGAAATTTGTCACATTTGGAAATTGCTGACAGGTAGTGATTATTATTTTAGGGCAGCTTTAAAATAAATGGCCTCCAGTTTAATGGTATTAAATGAATAAAATCATGTTGACAACAATTACGTACAGTTTCAATTGTTTTATTTCCAAAGTATATTTTACATGGAAATAAAAAAGATAATGAAAACAAGAGTTATCAACATGATCAATGGAAAAATTTAATCCCATACGCTTGCAAATGTTGAAAAATGTATTTGATATGGTACCAAATGGCTAACCCTCACCCCCCCATAATGACTTGGTGAAAGCGTGAATTCATAAACCCCTCACTTCAAATATGGATAATTATGTCCTAAATTAAATCTTTGAGGAAGAGATTTTCAAACAGTCTCACCCCCATTTTTGCACCCTACCATGTTTTCAGATACGCCTTCATATCTACACAAACAATGGCCACAGCACCTAACTGCACAACTACATTTACACTTGTTACAACTTTGGAGCTTCTTGCTACGATCTATTCAGTGTTTGTTTCTCTTCACAGTGAAGGCTCTTTATGGACTATGATCTTACCGACACATTCCAAACCTTTACAAATAACCACTGTGTTGTAAACAAAACTGACAGACCTCTTGAACTATTCTCACTGTGCCTAAGTCTCTTAAGATTGAATTGACTTGGTTTCATGCCTGAAAAAACAACATACAACAATGTACATGTACACTGATAAAGTGGTCAGGTGTAAAGGTGGCAGACATGTTATTCTTTTGCACAGCAAAATGGGATACATGTACTACCCTAATAGACAGTGCATACTGGCTGAGAATGTGTACCTCATCACTAGGCAACACGCGAAGACACTCATGCTGGGCGTAGCAATCATAGCAATGCAACAGTCATAATTTTTCCTTCCTTACAATTCCAGATGCTTAAAAAAACCGAAAGGTTTTGAACAGTTCTGCAGGACTTAGGGTGACATAGCCCTACAACTTCACAAAGGGCTAAGTGTATTATAGATAACAGCAATTAATGGCTGGCTTGGCTCAAAAATTGTGCTCACGATCTCATAAATATGAATGAGAAAGGAGTACTTTGACTTCTGGGTTGTGTGTTAATTGCAAGATCCTTGACCAACCTATTTTCCCAAAGTGTCCTTATGTAAACAACATGATTGTAATTATCTACTTGTTTTTGATGTAAATGTAATCAGCTTTTTGTGTGGAATCCTTGTGAAGGGTCACAAGAGCGTACATATGGACACTGACCAGAGTATTCTCCGAGGCAGAATGAATAGAGTCTTTTCAGTTATGGTCTACACTATAAGAGGGGCAGTTCGTATTTGTTTTTCCTTCTCTCCTAGCCAACACAAATGCTAACTTCACTTTTTTCACAACATTCACACATTTTTATGCAAAAACTAAATTGGTATAGGCTTACATGTACATATTTCATTTTCAGTATAAGTTCATGTTTTAAAACTTGAGGAACCCTCATGATAGGATAATGTTTGGATTACTTGAAAGCCAAGCAGCCATTGTAAGCGGTGAAAATTTATTTATAAAAAGTTGAGCCTACCAAGAAGCTCAGATGTCTTCCATTGTCAAGAGATTTCAAACAGAAGTTGAATCTTAGTGCAAGTAGTCTGGTTATTCCAAGGCATTTAACTCAAATCGCTGGAATTTGTCAACATCGTAGAAACTTGCCCTGACCTGTCTTCCTCCAAAATATCTCCCATTTAGGTCGACAACAGCTGTAGGAAACAAAACAATTTGATTTATAGGATGAAAACAAAACATGATATTGATATAAACTAAATGACTGTTGTCTACACATGTCGAGGTCAAAGCAAACATAAATTCCTCTAAATCCAACTGAAAAATCATATCAAATCTCACTTTTGGCCTTTTTTATCACTAGAGATCACTCTTTTGCCAGCAATCATTAATTAAACATAAAAGTGGCAATTATCACCTTTAATAGCTGCTTCAATTCGCTGGAACTCAACAAATATCCGAACGGCACTATCATCAGCACTACTGGGTTCCTGATAAAGTACAAAATCAACTACTGTTTTAGAGTCTTAAGACAATAAGAGATTTGAGAGGAAGAGATCATGGCAAGTTTGATTGATGCTTGTGTCCAACTTTCAATCATGAAAAGCAAGATCTGTTACATGACTATGCACTTCCAAACAAACTGTGACAATCTCGCACAGGTCCATACAGGCATTTCCAGACCCACAAGTTACAATAACAATCACACAGTAATCATCCACTGTACAGGTACATGTACCTATCAACTTGTAAGTCCGAGGCCTCATAATTCTGATGCCTCATAAGTCCGAAAAAAGCATTTGACAAACAAACGCCCCAAATGCATTTAAAAATTCCAACGGTTTTTTTCGGCCAATGGCATACTACTTCGATTCCATAAAAAATCTGACACCTTGAAAGTCAGATGTTTGATTTGACACTTGTTATGAGCGTGTGAAGATGGCACTAGGAAAAGGACTAGCTCCCAGTGCAAGTACGGTGTACTATTTATGACACATACAAACATTTTTAAGATTTCAAAAGTATTACAGTCGAAAAAATGCTTTTTATATTTAACGAAGTATCATACATCATTCTTACATGTAGTGGTATTTGGATTAAACAAATACTGGACCAGTGTGCGAACTGTGCAGGTAGTCTGCTTGATTTAGTTTTCCTAACAGGGTTGGTACCGTGGGCACGAGTTGGGAACAAAGTTGAATCAACGCGTCGCGTAGGCCCACACTCCTCCACATTTCACAGTCAATCGCACTGATGCCTCATATTGAGTCCCAAACCTCGTTGGTCCGACGTCGGATTTATGAGGCGTCAAATCTTTGAGGCGTTGGAACTTTGAGGCTGGAAAAAAAATTGCCCATGAATCCAACGTCTCGTCATTCCGATGCCTCATAAGTCCGAAATTCGGACTTTTGAAGCGTCAAACCTATGAGGCGTCGGACTTACGATATGCACCTTTTGCACCCAGGCAAAGTGAAGCCAATGAAATCAAAGAGTCGTATTCAGCAACAAATCTTGCTGTTTGACAGTTCCTGCTGTACATTTCAGTGACCAAGGTTTAGATACAAGTCATGTTTCTTACCTCATATATGACAACTTTGATTACTTCGCCATATTTGGCACACTCTTCTGCAGTCTCAGGTTGTAGGTCATCATCTACTTCCCCTGGCCCCACCATATTCTGAATATTACAAATGAAAACACAAACAATGATTGATGAAAGTTTGAGTTATTAAAAGTTAAAACTACGGCAAAGTAATTCCTGCTGATATATTTTTTTAAGGGACTTTTAAGCATTTTGTAAAAACTTGAGTTTGGAACAATAGACTGGAAATATTACCCATACTAAATGGTAACACAAAGCTATCAAAATGAGTACAGCTTATGAGAAGTGGGTATTTCCAATTTGAACATTTGGCTCTACTGGTGCAATTCAACTTGAGAAACTGCAAAACCACATTCCAGATGTTGAGCAAGAATTTTGGAGACATTTCCAGACACTAGTGGTGTAACTTTACACCTGTTTGTTACTCACCATGAGCAGCACAACTTTGGTAGGGTTCTTCATGACTGATTTGATGTCAGGTTTGGCTGATGGTACAGCTGGTATTCCAGGACCAGCAAGCCCTGGAACAGGGAGGTTTGGCCCAGGAGGGGGAGCCATCACAGGTGGGGAATCTATAAAAGGGGGACAAAGAGGAAAGATGGGGGGAATATACAAAGGTCATAAATTAGGATTCAAATATGTATATCAAAACAATCATGATTGAAAGCACTAGTTGGTTTTAGTTGATACTGTGCTAGAATTGCAATTATACCAGCACTAGTTGTCATAAGTCATCATATGTCAACTAGTCTGGTGGTGGTGGTGGTAGGACCAGGACAAGTTTATCAACTCACCTGTTTTTCTCTCGATGATCTTGCCTCCTCTTTTGCTTGTCTTCTCCACCTGTAATGCTGTACTGATTCCTTGTTCAGACTTTCCTAACCCTCTACCCTCCTGGAAACCATATTTAGCCATAATCTTGGCTGCTACAGAGTTGGAACTGCAAGTCAGAAAGAGATCGAACATGACGGCACTAAATATGCAATGACATTTATTCATCGACAGGTCTAAATATGGAATTGAATATGCTACAAACCAAGATCCACCTAGAAGCCCTTGACAATGGCTGGACTATACACCCACTGGCATCTGGAACTTACCTCCTTTTGCAACGGCTGGCCTACTTATCCCATAAACACCTAAATGTCAGCACATAGACACCTATAGACACCTTGAACCTCCCTTAGCAGGCCTGATTACTTACCCCATACCAACTGGAACCTGGAACCCACCACCCTTGGTAGTAGCTGGAGGGGGACCCAGAGGTCGACTGAATTCCTCGGAGCTCTCTGATAATGGAGGAGTCTGAGATCTTTCTGGGTCTTGCTCATAGGCACCTTCTTTCTTCCCTTTTACGATGTCAGCATAAGGACGCTTGGTTGGGGCCGCAGGTGATGTAACTGGATAAATAAACCCCCCAAAATACATGTACAATTACACAGAAATGATGACAGGGTCCCCTAAAAAAGTTATCTTTTAGAAATGCTCAAATTTTATACATCTTGGTAATTAATATGAACTTATGAACAGATGTCTTGGACAAGGGCTTTATTTAATCATTGGAAATGCAATGAGAACTATCGCATGTGGAGTTAGTTATCTTAACTGTGTATGTATTTAACTGGAAAATTATACAATGGAAAAATGAAGATGAAAATAACACATTGGCTATGACAATGATCCATCAAAATCAAGTCTAATATATCGAGTCTAATAGTTACAGTTCTGGAACTTTGTTTCGCGTTGATGTCCAATTACAACTCCCACAGACAACTTGATTTTTTAAAAAACAACTCCCCTATGAAGGAAAAACTAAGACACTAACACGTTTACAACTAACTTTCCTCCTAACTAAAAAAAAATTATGGTTGAATGCCACACTTAAGGTTTTCCAAAATTAATTTCTACAGAATTTCACCAAAAACCTCTCATTTGTCAGCTTCTTTTGATCAGTTCCTTAACTAAAAGCAAGATTTTTCTCTATCCTCTCCGTCTTAATCCATTCAACTTAATTTTTTGTACATTTATACTTACAAGGTTCTTCTGGATTTGTCTTGTCTTCGTTAATCAGCGAAGAAGGTGGTGCTATGGCAGCCCCGCTGCCCCCTGCCAATAAGACATCAATTCACAAGTGAACAAAGAAACACAGCCACAAAAATAACTACTTTAATAGAAAGACAGATATACATACAAATAAAACTAGCTATGAAATTATGAATAGTCCTTCTACCTTTTCGCCTTAACCTGTCTCTCTCCTCTTCTTCCTCATCATCTGGCCTGCGTGAGAATCCCCTTGGCGGGGATCTCTCTCGATCCCTGTCTCTGTCCCTGTCTCTCCTACGATCCCTGTCTCTATCTCTGTCTCTGTCTCGATCCCTGTCCCTGCCTCGGTCACGGTCTCTGTCACGATCTCTGTCACGGTCTCTGTCACGGTCTCGGTCACGATCTCTGTCACGATCCCTGTCACGATCCCGACCTCTGTGAAAACAAAGAAACTTCAAACTTGTAAGCAACACATACCTAAAAAACCATGGATTGGTTCTTAGAACTTTCCTTAATTGTCCTAAATCCTACTTTGTATAGGAAACCAATCCTTGATCTTAAATTTATGAGGAACATCAAGTAATATGTAAAGTAACCTCAGGTGAGTTCTGCCCTCTAAAGCTACCTTGTGTTGGATTTTGGAGGATCTGGGAGGGTAATGGTTCAATCTGCCCTGAGTTGAAATGTACCCCCAATAACAAAGAAGGAGAGGGCTTATGGGAAGTGTTTCAACTGGGATTATGAGCCAGCTGACCATACATTCAGATCGAAATTAGTCCCATGTACATGTACTCATTGTGTCATACCCCAAATGTGAATGAATCTATGTATGCATGTAATGAGTTCTCACCATCACTGCTTTGTAAAAACATGCCCTCTCTTAATTTTGGATGTTTGCCTTGCCCGACGTGTATTTGAACACTGTATACTCTGTGTGTGCCCCCGAAGGCTTGTGAAAAACCACAAGCATACTCAGGTGGGACTCAAACCAGCCAGCCGACACTGGCAAGCTCGGTGGTCAAGTGGTTCAGACGTCTGCACTAGTAAGCAGGAGGTCGTGGGTTTGAGTCCCACCCAACTACGCTTGTGGTAAAAAATCCAAAATTAATTTAAATCTCCCTGGCGCAAATCCGTCCTTGAAATAGATGTCCTCTCTTATTCCTGCTTGGAGTGGATAACAAAAAGTAACAGCATCTTGATCACAAACAGTTCCTGGACAAAATACTTGCACTGATATAATCAATGATGCACCTTGATACTCCAAACAAATGGTTAAAGTAAATGTAGTGTGGTAATTATCAACCTACTATGAAAGCTTTCATTTTCTAGGATATTTGGTTCACCTGTAGCTGTCACCGTCCCTCTGTCGCTCCACGCGAATCATCTCTTGCATCACTTTATCACGCATCTTCCTGACTATCTTGTCATATTCATTGGGGAAGGCGGGATCATACTCATTCTCAACGTCAGCGGCGAGTGGCATGGCTTCAATGAAAGCAGGCTGAGAAGCCTTGGTAGAACTCTGTAATAAAACATTGAAAAGACTTGCTGAGGTCTTTTTAGGGTGAAAAGCACGAAAGTGAAATCATGGAATAGGTTTCTGAAAATAAAAGTCTCCTTCACTGCTTAAGGATACTGGTATATTAATTGATTCAAAATGAAAGAAAACAGCACAGAATTGCCACATAAATAAAAAATAATAAATTTCATCCTCAACTGAATAATTTTAAAAACTGAAATCTTTTGGACTGAAAACACCACTCAGCCTTCTGACTACTCAAGCATGCTAAAGCACAACCGTTTAGATTTGACCAAATGACCAAATATCTGGACTTACTGGCTTCACTGGTATAAAGGATGGTCTTGGTGGGGATGGAGGGGGAGGGGTCAACTGTGTTCCTTCCTCAGACCCACTGGCTCCTTTTTTTAAGTCAATCACAGGAGCCAACGTGGCAGCTCTGATCTTCCGCTGGGCCTCAGTGAGTGAAGCCTTCTTCATACGGAGATGAGATTGCATCATGCGGATTCCTGCCGACCATCCCGCTAGTAATAACAACAAATGAACATTATTACCGTTATATGATCAAACCTACAGTAAAATCATATTCAGTTTTTCCACATAGTAACAATTTTCATTTCAACAAAACTTGAGCCTTGTTTGCCCACAAGAGTAGTTTTACAGACTCAAACACATGCAGAAATGCTTGTATTGGAAGACACCATTTATGGGATCTGTAACTTTTATGCCCAACAACTGCTGTTGTACTTACAAACATCTGGTTTCTTGGTGTCAGGTGTAGTATCTTTCTTAGGGGAAGTGTCAACCCCTAATCCATCATAGAGGGACATGGTGAATTCCGATGTAGTCTTGCTGCTTGCTTAATTAATCTAAAATATATATAGAAACAATAACATGTCATTTTTTGTTTTTCATTTTTGATATGTATTCATTTACTTTGGGTATCCCTAACTGAATCTGAATCATATAGCTGGCAAAGCCTCCATCAGGAAACACCACACCAACTTATGGGTTAGTTTGGGGCGCGGAGCTAGACGTGTCTTCAGTAGCTTATTTACAACCACTAAACAATTTTACAATTTCAGCTCTAAAAGTTGCATGTGATGTTTTTCCAGATTCAACAATATTTGATGGGAGATTATTCCAATCCTTGATTGTCTGTACAATCAGTTGAAAAGGAAATATTTGCACCTTTTTTTTGAAAACGGCATGGTTTTGGCCCTTTTTTTTTCTTGGCACTCAAAACAAAGGCATCTAAGCTATTTTACATAAACCAAAGTGGCTATCATTACGACAGCCATAACGCAATTCCCATTTGCTATCGTTACGGCACTGAACTGCACAAGTACGATGACGTGGCTGATCTATATAACAGTTTATATATTTTAAAATTACCTGGATCACTGAACGCTTGTGGCCGAGTGGTCAAGGTGGAAGGTTGGAACCACTGGTGTGTGAGTTTGAATCCATGCTTGGACCATTTTAATTTTTTTTGGCCTAAATTTCATGTTTTAAGTTGGTTTCTAATTGTATAGGCCTGAGCAGGAATCTTTTTCTTTTTTCATTGGAGGCTTTGGAGGATTTTTTAAAGGGAAATAAAGTCCGAAATCTGTGCTTAAGTTGGCCTGCTTGCACAGTTGCAGTGCCGTAACGATAGAAGATGGGAGATGCGTTACAGCTGCCGTAACAACAGCCATGGCGTACATAAAACTGTTGGGGGAAATGAAGCAACATTTCTATGGGTACACAACTCGAATGGGATTGCTGTTCATGCCCTGTTAAACGTCATGCAAAGGCTCTTTTTCTGTGGGGTTCGTGGGAGAGGAGCAGACGTCGGACCCCACAGTTCTGGTGGTAAGGGAGTACCACAACCTGCATCAAGCAACAAGCACATGGGTAGTATACATGTAGTCCTACCATGGAGGTAGAATGGTCCTACAAACATTACCTCAATGCCATTCCCATGAAATCAATGGTTTGTGTACATCATATCCATTGCATTATCAGTCCATATTTTATAGTTTACGAACACCAAAACCCGCCTAATGGGATTCCTGACCTTCCTACCTCCATGCACTGACCGAGATCCATTTAGATCAGTGTGAAAAAAAAGCCAGGGTCCCTCCATGCGCTGCATGCGTGCCAAAGTCGAATAAAATCGCGCCCTCTACGAAGTAACACGTACACATAATATAACATAACGCATAATATATCTACAATGTATGTGCAATGAAATCCCGTTAGTTCCCGCACCGAAACAAAAGTATCTTTTTTTTCACTACAACGTGCAGAAAAGAGCCCAACAGTAACATGATCAGTACTCACAATAATTCATCACGAAGAGCTTTCCTCTGTTTCTTATGAATCCAGCATTATCAGCGGCAAAATGGACATCATGTGAGAGATTTTACTCTAGATCGATTGCACGCTGCTGATATTAGTCTAGGCCCTGCTTTTGGTCTTGATTTTGGAATTGCCAATGTCCCTGACTGTTGGGTATCCGACTATTTGAGAGGCAAGAGAGGCAATCTTTCATGTTTTTCGGCCATAAAATAAAAAGTGCTATAAAAGCTGTTAGAGTTCCGCAACCGACTATCAAATTTGAAACACTGTGCACAAACCCATGAGACTGGTCTAAAAATAGTTTTCTAAGTAAATAATTCATTATTTCCCTAGCTAAATTAGTCTTTTTAGGTCTTGTTATCAATCATGTTAAATGTTTGTTATCGCTTTCTGAGTGATGGCTGATATCCGTGATAATCAGGGAAATGTCAGTGACACCCATCCATCATATGTGGAATTTTCTTCTTTATGATTTTACATTATGATAACAAATTTTTCTCATTTTTGGCATCTTTGTGGTAAGTTCATACTTGATGTGTATGGCTGTGCCTAATAACCGAATATTTGATCAAATATTTAAATACACTGTATTAGGCCTATTTTCCGAATCTGACTAAGTTGAATCCAAGCTTCATGAAGAGGAAGGAAAATTTTCTTTTGTTTTAAATGAGAAAATTGCACTCTAGAGGCTTGTTTCAAGCAGATTGAAATGAAAAGTGACAGAAATCTTAAAGTGATTCAAAAAGTAAATTATTCATTAAAAAATTTAAAAGGAACACAAATTTTCAACATCGTAAGAAGTATTGTTGATCTCTTAAATCATGCTAAATTGTGGCTGGATATACTCGTACAGAAAGAAGTAGGAGAAGCTATTATATTGATTATAATGTATTGTTTATAATGTACAGTAATGAATTTCTGAAAACAGGTTTTGCTTCAAATCTTTTGTGTTGTCAAATTCGCTTTGGTTTTGCTTTCATGTGTAAAATGACCCGGATAGACTTGATCTTTGAACAGTTGACCTACTTTTTTCATCTTAGTTTCAGACTGTTTTTTCATTCTTGATGCAGGGTTGGCTGTTTTGTGTCAGTTAAGCTTGGATGCACAAGTGTTCTTTCCCAAAACAATATGTGTACATGATGAGAGAAGTCACCTGAGAGCTTGTGGATGCCATCATCATTGTTAATGGCAACAGTTACCATGGCAACCACCTCATCATCAGAAGTTTCTCCTTCAGACCCAGCTATTGCCAAGGCCCATTTCAGGGTAGCACAGTACATGATGGAAGCTGGCATCAAACTTCACTTACAGTCAGTTACTGTTGCCTCAGCCTGCACTATGTACTATCGTTTCTTTTCTGTGTGTGATGTGCGGAACTATGATGCATACCTTGTGGGGGCAGCTGCTATATACTTGGCAACCAAGGTGGAAGAACAACACGTGAAACTAAGGGACATTATTAATGTGTGCTACAGGTCTGTTAAACCCAAAGAACTTTTCTAAATGAAGCTTCAAACATTAGTTTATGCATAGAATTGACACAGCCTTGGCTTAAGTTTAGTCTTTTTCGATTAAGTGGAAATGGGAATCTGCCTCCTAAAAATGGTTTTCAAATGTTATTAAACTTATTTTTCAATATCAATTTGGTTGATTTTTAGAATTCTCCATAGAGAGGAGGCACCACTTGAAGTAGGCAAGAAATACTGGGACCTGAGAGAGAGTGTAATAAACTGTGAACTGCTGCTTATTCGTATGCTCAAGTTTAACCCTAAGGTACAAGCATTGATGGAACTTTGATGTTAAAAGGGGTATTTGATGTCTTTGTTACAGAACTGAGTTTTGTGTTTGAGATCTCACCTCATATCTGTAATTTGCTATTCAAAGGGTAGAATACAATTAGTTCTTTGTTGCCTATTTTTGTCTGTTTTTCACTCAATCAAGCATTGACAATGGAACAATTTGACATTTCTTTATATTTCAATGACTCCCATCAACACAGGTCACCCTTCCTCACAAGTACATGGTACACTACCTGAAGTCACTGCAGGACTGGATGGATCAGAACATGTGGAGCAAGACACCTATATGTCGGATGGCATGGGCCATGTTGGGTGACTGTTACCATGGTAGCATTTGCATCCGTGTCAAACCGCAACATTTGGCTGTAGCAGTGATCTACTTTGCAATGCAGTGCTATGGTGTCAACATGCCTCATCAAGAGGATCAGGCAAAGAAGAAATGGTGGCAGGTAGTTAAGCCATGAACTTGGCCAAGTTAAAACTAGGAATAGCAGTATAACATCACGGGATATTCTTGCAAGTAATCTGCTTTCACGAAAAATGTTTTTGTTTTCAGGAAATACAAATGCAAAGCAACATATATCACTGATGTGATCTTTCTTTTTGTAGGGAAGTTGTATTGAATATCTTTGGAAAGTAAAGGGTCAGCCTCCCCTACTTTCTTTTGTCTTGCTTCACCCCACAGGTGTTCAGCGAGGAACTCAATGAGGAAAAGGTCCAAGAAATTGTGGCTGAATTAATTGACATGTATGAAATGGAAACAAAGGTGTAGCAACTAGAAGATTATCGACTTTGTTTTTGGCAAAGCTGCAGAAATATTTGTGTTTCTCTGTTTGAGGAATGGTGAGCCAAAGGGTGCTGTTCGTCCCTTCTGAGCATGCTTTGGGCCTCCAATGTGCTCTGATGAGCAACAATCTATCCAATAACTGCAACAACTGAGGGAAGGCAAGAACACAGGCTGAAAATCTGCTCTCACTGGACAATAAGTCTGTAAAAACTTCCAGTGCGTGTTCCCAGTAGTACGCAGTCATTATAGGTAATTGTGAACTCTGATTCCATTCCAGTGTTGACAAGATTTATATCACTGCAGAGTCAGAACTGCTATACATCATTGAAGGTCACACACAATCCACTGCATTTCTGTCTCAAGATTTTAAGGCAACTGATGACCAGCCTAGACCGATGAGATGGTTTTCCGAACCTGGGCTTCACCTATTTTGTTGCTCTATTTATCCAGAATCAGGTGACTTTATGCTAAAACTAATTGAAAATATCAGCTTTTGTCTCATAGTATTGACGTTGATGGGAAAGATTTTGAGATGTAGTCTGTCAAGTGAGGGTCTAACAACTGAAGCTAGTCAAGAGCTTTAACGCAACTGGGAGCCACAGGCCGGATTTAGTTTACTCTAAAGCAAAGCAATTGTTCAGAAATGGCTCTCCCCAGGTAGCCAATGATACTTAAGAACAAATGACTTGAAATGCTAATAAATGCATGTAGTGCATGAAAACCCGGAAAGGAACAGCTTACATAAATTTGTTTTGTATTTTGTATATACATGTACATGTATTGTACATAAATGAAAATACTTCAGGCCAGGTACTGCAAAATACAAATACTGGTATATATATGTTGACTTGCTCTCTGGAATTATCAGGAATTTTATTTCATTTTCATGTCTTCCAACACATATTCATAAATATGACATTTTTGCCGCATAAAGTAGTGATATTGCACATTTTGCACGCATTGGCAGTTATCTGAATTATAACCTACCATATCTCAACACTATTAAATGAAGGAAAAAAGTTGCAAGCAATTAAATTTAATGCACTTGTTTATATTTCATTAAAACAAAAATTTACAAGTGTGGTTGTTTTTTGCATGCCCTGTTTATTTGGTGTTTTACATGTAATTAAATGCTATATTCCTGCACAAGTAAACCCTGTAAATGCTTTGGTTCTTTTATATGCATTGCAGTAAATACACGTAAATTATTTCCAAATTGTATCCAGATTTTAAAACCAAAAATCTGTCAAAGTTCCATGCTGTTGGTGAGAGCAATTTCCTATTTTCAAAAAATCTTCTGTGACCACAACATGCAAGTTGCATTTCAGTACAAATTAAAATGAACTGCAACTTTAAAAATTAAAACCAGAAAAGCTAATGCAGTGATGCATGGATAGACAAGTGTGTTTGGCGGTATCTACTACATTATTCTAACTAGTTACAGAATAATTTAGCAGATTTCTACACTTGCGATGAAGTTATCAAGGATGAGGTTTTCAAAATAAGCACCCTTTTCTTTACAATGCACAGTACATGTAACACCATTTCAAGCAAAGTACCAGTACATAATGGAAGGAGAAAAAATCATTACACACATTTTAGTAGTTGGTGCTATATTTGAGGCTGTAATTTATCAGGGTGAATAAATTAGCATTAACTCTTCAACAGGGAGTTTGTTGTGCTTAATCCTTGACTTCAGTAGACAAGTTTTGAATATTTGCATAAAAAAGAGAGGATTCACTGCTACCTACAGAGGCAAGAATTGGAAAAAAAATTCTTACATTGTACGTCCTTCAAAGGCTTAGCACTTGACACAGACTTTGATGCTACTTTGGAATTTCATGAACTGTTACACTTTTTTTTATAGATCATGAAACAATTCATATCGGGAAACTGACTAGGTGCTTATGAACAATTATAAAGATGAACAAAGAAATTGACTGGAGAGGGATTTGAACTTGCGGCCTCTGGAACACCGTACCAGTGCTATTTATGTTCAAAAAGCTGTATCCTCTTTGAATGATCCCTCTTCACCACTTCCCAGGTTGTATCGTGTGTAATTGGGGTGTGATCCCTGGCTACGTGGTGTTTCAGGTTAAATGGCTCCTGGCCAGCACCCCCTGAACAGAGACATTGACAATTGGGAAGAGCCACCAACATAGGCCTGGGTAGCTCAGTTGATAGAGCACTGGTACGATGTTTCAGAGGTTGCAGGTTCAAATCCAGCTCCAGTCAATTTCTTTGTTCGTCTTTATAATCACTTTTTTTTTTATAATGTGAGCTACCATTACACAGCCTGAAGCCATCCAGGATTCCCAGCTAACAATTCTAAATAACAGCCAGCATTTTAGCTAAATGTACATCCTTTCAACCAACTGCTTTTTTATGCAGTGTTTTTGCCACTCGCTTAGGATTATAACCAAAGTGTACATGTACCGGTATTTGCCATTTAGCAAATTGTGAAGTGACAGTCTGCAACACTACTATGTACCTTACTTATTAAAGTACATGAAGGTCATTCCTTACAAGCATAACAATCAAGGTGCATGTATTGTATTTCATGGCTGTCATCATTAGATAAATCCTAGGTAAAGTTTAAGGCCTTGATGCACTGAAGACTGTCCATGATCTTTGAGATGTCTGTGTTTACACAATGCATCCGGCTAAAAGGAAAACAAACTTGCAGCTCTATACACGTAAGCATCGCTAACTTTGTTGCTCATCATGCAAAACAGATTTTACAAATTCTTCTTAGCTTTGTACTGTTAAAAAGTAACTATACACTTGATCAATGGGTGAAACAGATTAATAACAACAGTTACAGGTAAAAATAGTTTAAAGTGCTTTAACCACACAATAACATGAAAAATCCAGATTGTACATTTATAAAGTAACTATAATTGAGTATGATATTCAACAATTTATTGAATACTATACATTGATAGAATACAACATCAATAAATAAAAGTACATACATACATGTACATGTATAATTTTGACTGAAAAGACATACGTACATACATGTGTATAAGAAAGGGTAGGTAGCACAAAGACAATATTTTCAAGGAATTGCAAACCTTGAAAAGTAAATGTGGAACACATATCCAACACAGCACACTTAAACATGTAGGTGTATGAATTAAATACGCAGCCATTCTCAGCATGCATTTTTACATTGCACTGTTTTACATCTACATCTAGATTACAAATGGCAAGACTCCTATACATGGGGGAAAACAGTTTTCACATTTTACCAAGAAATTTACAGAGTGGTCAGGTGGTAGTAGTCATATAAAATTTGTTTAAAACTGTCCTAAAAACACAAAATAAAGGAAACTAATGGGGTAAATGTCAAAATAGAAGCTAAAGGTACACAGTTCATGCAAGTATTTGTATTTGGAAAGATTTGTCCATTTGTTAGGTCCCTTGCTTATTGAAGTCAAAGTTCTCAACATCTGCCTGTCAAAGACAGTATTTGTTTTCATTTTATACACAAAGTGCTACTTTATTATCAGGCAAGCCTACTGATCATAGACAATGTGATAAAAAATGATAGCTCAAGTAATCAGTACATCTTATACACATATTGATTTGTTAGTACTATTCGCTGGAACATACATGTGCCAAGTTGGCTCAGGGATGATATCCATGACAGGTACTTTTACAATGTGTTTTTAGACATCCACGGTGTCAGGTGAGAAGCGTAACTTTGGTATCTCGGCAATAGCAGTTGTGGACTTTGGCTAAGAAAAGAACATAAAATATCAAAGAAAATAATCAGGTGATGAGCAATAAGTTCACAAATACATGTAGGTGGCTTCTAATAGAAACAGGTCAATTAACATCTAACCCTCTAGATCCTTTAAAATCCACCAGAATTGAGGAAGAATTTTGCAGGATTGAGGAAGAATTTTGCAGGATTCAGGGAGGCAGATCCCAGTCACTATATATGTAGTACATAATATCTCAAAAAACTGAAATATAAAGGATGTGCCACTGAAATTAAGATGTTTATTTCAAGATTATGGAGAGTTCCCAGAAAAAGGAGGAATGGGGTTTTCTATGGAAAATGAAAATGCTAATTGATCTCACAATGTGCAGAGGCACTGAAGCTCAAACAGTGATACAATGCATGTAATAGTTGGGAAAGAGGAATTAGCACCATGATTACAAATGTAGTTCCATTATGTGTGTACATTTACTCTGATTTGTACAGCAAAGCATTACTGCATTAAATACATTCAGTCTGGTAAAGATGGTATTTGATGGCACAGGCCTGGAAACTCAGCTCACAACAAACACCCCAAATTGACAGTTTTTCAAATAATGTACATGTAAACAAAAACATTTCTGAACCTAAACACTTCAATGAGTTTTGGTGTGAAAAAAGACAGAAACTAACGCAGTAGGCATTTTGATTTCAAACAATTGATCATTTATCTGCTAATTTCTGCTTTATTTGAATTGACAGAGGACACTTTTTGTTTATTTTTTTTTATATATAGTTTATTAAATTTGAATCACAGTGGCCAAAGGCCAAAAACAATTCAAATTCACATAATGATTAACAATTATATCAATTAAACTTTACATTACAACATTACTTAAAAAATAAAAAAATAAAACAAAATGCAGATAAGAATAAGACACTTGAAGATAAGTGCATGTAATTATATGTAAAATGTACATGTATGTGTATAACTGCAAAAAGGGGACTTTTCAATTGAAAATAGCCACAAAATATTTCTTTAATCCTGTGATACAAGTCTATCATCTCATGCTTTTTAAAAATATCTACTACAGCAATCTTTCTTTTCACACAATCTTGGAAGGAGAACTGTCCTCAACCATTGCAGTAAGACTAGATCCTAACATTAAATGAATGGTGTGGAATATTGACATAAAGAGAGTACAACCTCTCTGCACTTGGACAATATGTGGCATTAATTGTATCATTATAATAAGTTTAGTCTGGTCAGAAGCCAGATTGTAGCAGCTACTGAGTGATATCTTGTCTGCAAATGTGGCTGGACATCCCTGCTGGAGGCTTCAATCTTATTACCATCAATCATCCAAAATCTTGGGGGTATATTGGGGATACTTTTGAGACCATGACAGATGGCTTGGGGCAATGATGCTTGGATTAACACAAAAAATGGTTTAACTGTCGGGATAAAGATATTTTGTCCAATTTGATGGAAATTTAATTCCTGCATTTTTATAAATACATGTATGCACACATGAAAAACATCAGCATACATGTAGGTAATAACAAATTAACCATGTTGACATTTGTATCTCTACATGTGTGATAATGAGCATTTAATATATTATTAAATGTTAGGGACTTCCAAAGTCAATCTACCGGTAGCTTTATTATCAGCTACATGTATGAAAATACTGATTTCAGAAAATATTTGTATATACATGTATCTGGCAAATTTGAGCAATTTGAGGGCTGTGTTCTAAAAGAAGTCCACAGTGTTGTGCAATAAAAACACTGAATGTGACTGGATAGTATGTATTTCACTGGAGTTGTAAAATGGGTTGAGCGAATGTCTTATAATTATGGCCAGGCATTGATAGAATAAAGTTCACCCACCTTTGTTGTGCTGTGTGACGGCTGACTACTTGACCTAGGATCTGTCAAGAGTTCCGTTTCCCAGTCTTCCCCTTCTTGGGGGTCAAAGTTGTAGAGTGGTAAGAGCTGATGCCTAAGCTTGTCCAGTCTAGATTCCAATCATATTTACAGTAACAAAAACAGAAATCAATGCCTCAATGTGAAAGTCATTTTGTATTTCAGAATTAAAAAGAGTATCTTTTGTGGAGCGGGGGTGCTGAGAAAAATGTTCAAAGGTACTTGTAGAGATAAATCCATCTACTGTTTTTTGTTGGGGAAAAAAACGAAAGATGGGGAATTTGAAAGATGATAATAATGCAGACCACAAAGGAGGTATAATGGTATTTTCAGAAATGGTTCTCTCGGTATTTTTGTAATGTTCAACCCTATTTTTCTCTTTTTTTTAAAGGTAGAGGGGAGTGACAAGCTGAGAAGGAATCCATTAATTTGTAAGTTGATGGATTGAAGTGACATTTTAATGTAACTCCTTCCTAATATCATTCACCAACCGGTGTTGTAGTGAAGACCATCACAAGACCAGA